TACATTTTTTACTGCGTTTCACTCTAAACCATAGTGTTACATCTTGCTCAAGCTTTAAAATTTATGCTACGCAAACAAAAAAAATAAAGATAGATTACATCTCAAAAGTTAAGATTTCAAGCAAAAAACAATTCGCTTTGTTATACACATTTATCTTCAAATGATATGATTCCGACTTATTCATAAATTTTGCTTTTGACGCATAAATATAATAATGTTAAGCATAATTCAAACAATATTAATGACATTTCAATGTTTTTTTTTCAAAAAATAATGGCAATGAAATAAAATTACATTATAATGGAATTAAATTAATTAGTCATTAAGTTGTCAACAAACACAAGAAACATTACTTTGAAGAATAAAATTTTATGATGAATAATAATTTTTTTCTAAGAATTATTAGAAAATCATATCATCTTTTAGATAATATTTAGATATAATGCATAAAGTTTTCATGTTGGAAAAAAATTAATATTTAACTTCAAAAGAAATCATTCCTTGAATGCTTGAATGTGAAGTAAATGATAGATGAATATATTTAATTTTTGATATTCACATATTATAAATTGATTATAAGTACACACTTTTGTCTACAAATAAACTCATTGGCTACAAAATTATTTATATTTAAATAAAAAGTAAATTTATTGTGTCAATAATAAAATTGAATTTAATATTTTCAAGAATTATTCTTATATCAAGAATATTATGTAAAAATAAATTTTTCATATGAATTAAATTGAAGAGATAAAGAAAAATAATATAAATTTTTCACATGCCAACACAAAAAATTGGAGAATATAAACATAATTACAATTTTATTATTTTTGATGAATTATATAATTTACGAAAATAGAGAAAGAAAATTTTATTTTAAATTTTTGTATAAGTTTTTAATAAATATGTGTGCTCAGAAATAGTTTAAGATTTCAATTTTTTTGGTTTTAAAATGTGGGGATTTTTGTTATAAAAGAAGTGAATATTCTAGTTATACAAATGAAATTTCAGAAAAATTCAAAATATAATTTTTTTCTGAATATCAATCAAAAAAATAATTTGTGACTTGAATACATTAATCTTTTTTGCAAATGCTTGGACTGCTCTATGTTGTCATTTTTAAAAGAAAATTTATCATACAGCAATTGGCAATGCATTTTTATTAATCATACACTTGTAAAGATTAACATTGCTATAAATTTTGCTTAACTATGAATTTATACTTATTCTAACACTGTATATTTTCTCATGTTCAACAGGTTATATTACATCGTTGTGCATATTTATGTTCATTACAAGGAGCATTTTTAGTGTTAAAAGATATGCATAGACTCTTAACTTTAATTCCACACTCTCATGAGATCATAAATTTTTTGACCAATATGTATATCTAATATTGCTTATGACCTAAATTTTCAATGAAAAATGATATTTCTTCAGATTTGAAGATGGAAATTTTTTTTCAAAATTTGTGTTTCAATTTACTATAAACCCACAGAAAAATTGTTTGTTGGTGACAAAGATTGAAAATTGAAAATTTAATTAGATATATATGTCAAAAGGATAGAAGTGATTGACTTTCATTTTTATTATCACATTGTGAATTATTTATATATTTACACACATGCACACAAGAGTGAATAAAACTAAAGTGAAACACATTTTTTAACAAAAGATCAAATTATTAACTGTGAGTAAATGACATTGACCTCCCAATCAATATGATATTTATGATCATATATATAAACTATTTGGGTAATTTTTCAGTTTTTGAAGATATGTAGAAGTATAGTTTGAATTATTTCTGGATGATTATAATATATGAATGAGATTTATCTGATTGAATTAGCACCTTATCTTAGTCTTCACAATGATGTAATTTAGTTTTCTCCTACAATGTGTCGCAAAGTATTAATCAGTAATTCAACACTACAAGATGAAGCAAAGAATTGATGTTGTATAAGCTTGGATCTTAGTTCACTTTAGTGAAATAATTATCGTAACTTTTATGAGTTATCTACTGTAAATTAAATTTTTTTATCAATATGTATGAGTGATTGTAGAATTTCTACATGTTGAGAGCTTGATTCCTTGAATTTGATCAGTAGAGGTACTCTTGTGTTCAAGTGAAATTAGCTCATTTTATTTAATTAAATTATTTGATGCATGAATTACAATAAATATTTTTTGTTTTGATCTTTAGTAGATGATTTGGAGAAAACGTATTTACAGAAATTGTGTTTAACTTATTATCAATTTTAAAGAATCTGTTATGTCTTTCAAAGTGGTTTATGGGGCTTCAAATGACCTGCAAAGACCATATAATCTTTTTTTCACTTTCACTCGCATCATTGATGTCTTTAAGCTATACAAATATATTGATCAATCTGAAGTGCAAAGGTGGTCAAGCTTGGTAAACTCCTCTAGCCGAGCTTCCATCCATTACCATACACCTATGGCACAAAAGATAGGTTTGATGTTCATTTTATTGAAAACGACTTAAACATCTTTCCTAGTCGTTGTATTACCAATCAGCATTCCTTCACGACGTTTCTCATACAAGAAGTAAAGATACCACTGCGATCTATGACATTGACAAACTTGCTGATATATGAGAGTAGTGACAGAAAAAGCTGAGTTTCTTTTAAAAAGAATGATGAAAGCATCGATAAGACTGTAAATGCACATGCACTTAAGCGCGAGATGTCTTGTCAGGCTTCTTGGTGACTAGTTTTGTTGCACTTGCAAGCAGCCATAGCCATGACATATGGTGAATTCTACGTTGTAGTAGGTTCAACGTAGGATTTACTGAATGTTATGAATCTATTCAAAACTCACAAACAGCTATCAAGAATTTCTTATCGATGTTTATTAGCATTTTGAGAGTGAGATGTTCAGATGGTAGATTAGGAGTAAATTGAAGATCTGGATTGTGGTTACGAAAAGCAGGGTTTGCTTACGAAAAGCCGGGTTTGCTGTTTTGAATGTCCGGATATTACAAATAGAGGCGATGTATAAATTAGTGGCGACAATCAGGCAAACTTGGTCAACCTAGGAATAAATGCAAAGGAGTAGCATTTTCTGCATATTCGAGAAGAAAGAGTATATGTTTTGTTTATTTTCCTACATAAAGATTATCTCACAACTATGTTTTGGTATAAGCTAAACAAATCTTACAATACTGTTTATATCCGTTTAATGTCAGATATATTAGATGCGTGTTCATACATCATAATCAAAAATCACAAAACTGGGTTCCGTCAAACTGCATCTAATCTACCCCAAACTGCAAGACTATATGTAGGATTATCAGATTAATTATGGTGTGCTATTAAAGTGATTAGAATGTGAAACATTGTTACCATACTATAATGAAGCGGCTAGTTATACCTCACTTAGGACTAATTAGCACTCACTCTACAATACGTTGTTCACTCATCGGTGGCGCCGGGTCATAGCTTCCGTGATATGAGTAATTAACTTCGCGAGTTTTACTTCTTTTCGCTCTTCGTACATGATGCCTATGTGACAAGAGCCAAGTCAAACTCATGCTTGCCAGCTCCGCGTTCGAGGTCCGCTGTGAATGCTATCTCCTAGTATGGGTGGAGTTTGTCCCTCTCGGACTCTCTCGTCTTGTCGTCGTCAATGACATGCGCATGATTTCATTACAACTAACACTTGTAGTAAGTCATACTTTTCAAAGAACTTTTATGCACTCCATATAGTACGCCAAACTTGCTGCTAACAAAAATGTTTGAAGTGTGCCACAATTGTTCACGGAATAATTTTTCCATGTGCTATGAAAGACTAGCTCTAGACTGATAGTCTACTATACTGCAAATGTTGAGTATCAATGAACTCCTGGAATTTTGATGAAATCAAAAAGTTTCATTATGAAGAGAAGTAATTAACAAAAGTACAATGTACGTTTGTAGTCTATCTTCAAACCGAGTAAGCGTTGAGTTTGGAGTCATTAAGTGCCTTGATCTGCTCACTTGAATGATACTCGTGGCTTGCAAGCAAGAATATCGTCTTCATATTGTGAAAGACAGTTTTGACAGTGTTATTAGATGCCCAATATCACACAACGTTGGCAATCATGTCCTTAAGTGATGACTCTTATTGGGGCTAGATGCAAGGCATGATTACCAAAGTCAACTGAATCGTAGCCACGCCAAAGGAGGAGGATTTATTGAAATTGGTCTAGAGGGTGACAATAACTCTTCAGTTTCTGGGTTGGCGTTGTAAAGTTTGAATTTTACGACGCAGATCATTTTTCCTCTTGGTTTGACTTGGCTCTTGCCACGGAGTCATCATGGACGAAGAGCAAAAATAAGTAAAACCCGCGAAGTTTATTACTCATCTCACGGAACCTATAACACGACCAACATGTATTGTAGGATGAGGGCGAAGTAAACCTAAGTGAGGATAACTAGCCGCCCCCTACTATAAGTGATGTTAACTCGTGCATGTACGCATGTTATTGAGTAAATGCATCCATATTTGTCTCATAATAATGAAATCAATATCGAGAAATAATAAGTTTAATCCCAAATTCCTATTGAGATTATACATGTCATGTTGTGGAAATGTGGCTGTGTAAGGAGAATTCTTTCATAAGTATGCTTGACTTTCATATAAGCAAAAACTAGAAACAAGAGAAGAGATTAGCATCGACCTAGGATTCTTTTTCTAAAAACCCGGTGGTTTAGACTAATACGAGCTAGTGACAGCTCAACAACTCCAAACATGGATTTGCTCAAGCTATGGAATGACATATGAAATCAGCAGGAAGTGCATACAAAAACCGTATGACAAAATTTACAAACCCTTTGTCCTTCGACCTTGTAAGTATGACACTCATCTCAGGTCAAAATCACTAGTTGAAGTTCCATCACTCACCATGTAGATCACACATCTACATACATGGCACGAAACTCATGCAAGTTAAATAGTCCTTACTTTGCTTTGTCAATCCTCTTCAGAAAACTTCAAGATGTCTACACAATGGCATGCAAGCTGTGGGAAGTCTCTGTATTGGCACAAGTATACTAGCACTTCATCGAAGTTGGACAGAAAATGCATTGAATTTGCTGGATAGTGACCCTGAGTTCTCCCAAGGTAGAGCAAACACACACAGAAGTGCTGTCAGGTCTGGGAGGAGATTGTTGTACATCTGATGTTGAGGAGCCGGATGAAAGTGGGCTAGCAGCAAACTAGGACGGTTCATATGCTGGTCGAGACGTGAGATTTGCGGTGCTCCAGTGGTGGAAGAATCGTACTCGTCATTGGAAGCATCATAATTCGATACTCGGAGCGATTCTTCGCATTAGTGGCTTCGCTTCAAAACGCCTGGAGGTAATGAATGGTCTGCATTGTATTCCAGAGGGTTCAGTTGTTGGAGGAAGAGTGCAATAAATGGGTGGTACAGATAGAATCAGAAGGAAGAGAATTTGCTTCTGGAAGACCTGTCAGTTCTAGAAAATTGACTTGCGACTGGTATGCCGATTCTTTATGAACTAAGGAACCAAAGTATCCGTCGACAAATCGTACATACTCTGCTGATGATGAGATCGACAACCTTATCGAGACATACTGATCCAAGTGAGAACTTGAGTAGACGTTTTCTGCCTTGAAAGATTTCTAATCAGACGAGATTGGATCATCTGGTAAAAGCAGATCAACTGCCGAACCACGATTATGTCATAGTTTTAGTTACTTCAAACCCTAAATCAGGAGATCCAGCATTGTGAGAGCTTAAGCGGACTTGGAGCAGCTGGGAGCTTTCTTAAAGCAAGATGAGAAGGCCCGCTTGCGATTCAATCAAAAGCAAGCGCTGGATTTGTGCTAAAGGTGAGAAGTTTGCGATGCTTTGAATGATAAGACGTTCTCCGTCGCTAGAAATGCAGAAGATTTCCGAGCATGAGTTTGCGGATGGTCCCGAATCTCTGACTGTCAGGATCTCGGAGGTGATGAAAGAGGATTACGGCTTGTACGTTTGGCCCTCGAGCATTCTCTTGGCAGAGTATGTCTGGCAGCAAAGAACTCGATTCAGAGGACGGAAAGTTCTCGAGCTTGGCGCAGGGACTGCACTGCCGGGCATCGTGGCTGCCAAAGTTGGCGCTGATGTGGTTTTGACAGATCACGCGGATCTTCTCGAAGTTTTCGAAAACATGAAAATCAGCTGCGCTTTGAATAAAGCCGACTGCAAGATTCAGGGTTTAACGTGGGGTGAGTGGAATGCGGACACATGCTCGCTCCAGAAACAAGTCGACATCGTGCTAGGAGCCGATGTCATCTACCAAAACACGGACTTCGATGACCTATTCGCCACTGTGAGCTTTTTCTTCGCAGGCAGGCCCGACGCAGTGTTCATCACGACTTACGAGAAGAGGAGCGGGCACCGATCGGTGGAGTATCTCATGGCAAAGTGGGGTCTCTCCTGCTCGACTATCATCGATGTGTCGCAGTTCGTCCCTTTCAAGAAAATTGACGACCTTCCTTCTTCACTTCAGCTCATAGAAATCGTCCCCAGGAGCTAGAGGTTTGCGTTATAAGGATTAGTTACTATAAACATTCAGGTATGGATTATTGTCGTCACGAGTGCAAGGAACTGTAGTGTCAGCAGTTTTTTGTTCTTGTGCTTATTGATCAATCCAGCTGCACCGGTGTTGGAATTTTACTTGGTTTTCGAACATATCCACCGCACATTCAGGTCTATCCGACACCTGACCACGTGCAGGGCAACCGAGGTCTTGTCACTCTCGGCGGCATCGTTAGAGTTACTTGTGCTTCCATTGACTTTCAGTCAATAACTCCTCGAGTTTCTTCTGCCTTGCAGATTGACGTTCAACCTGATCCTTGTCACAACCCCCAGACGCTGACGAGCTGATAACTTTCCGTTGCCGTCGAGGCTTCTACTGATTTCAACAATGCGAACGATCAGTTCTGGTTGGGCCAAATGATCAGGTGGACTCAGAGTGACGTGTAGTGTGCTTTTCGGACAAGACACTCTAGCCTCTTCGTCAGTTCGATTGGAATTAGTTTTACCCACACGAAAGCCTTTGGTTTGTGTTAAGGGATGAACACGCGGAATCGACGGCAAGACATTGACGATAGTGAAGCAACTCGATGAGGCAAACTAAATTAAGCAGAAGTGGGAAGACAAGCTTCGAGACCGAGACCGAGACCGAGACTCCTGCAGAGGGCAGCGTAGCAGTGAAGCTTTGAGCTACACCAAATGTATCAATAAACTACTACATGACCTAGTCACGCAGCAGATCGATGATCCTACTCAGTGCAATTGGGGGATAAATGGAGTTGGCGTGAAATTTTAGGGGATCACTCGACGTGTTTTGAGGTGACTTCTGTAGCGTACAAGACTCGGTTGATATGAGCTGGACACAAGGAGTTTATAGAAGTTCTGCACGAAGTCTGATGAAATATCTTCAGTCTTCTGCGTGCGACCATTAACCCTCGGTGGTCCAGAAATGGACTGCCATAGTAATCCACGGTTTGGTGGGGCTTTCCACGACGTACTCTCGGGCCAACAGTAGCAATTTGCCTAAGGGCCCAGTTGCAGTTCAGAGCTCTTTGGTTCAAACGGCTGTGTACGAGACATTCTTCGGTGATGCTCAATAATAAACAACGATGCTATCAAGGGCAAGTCGGAGTCGGACCATCGATCTGACATCATAAGAACACGGTTCCTTGCACACATGGAGGAAATTCAAACAAAATATAGGTAGGTGTAAATGTGTTAGAGAAGTTCAAGACCGTACGAGAACATCTTCAAACTCATCGTCAGAGCTACGGAACCTCAACCACTCGTGGATTGCATTTACCTTGTGGTGGTCCACAGTGCCGGATATCGCACTGAATATTCGAGTAAGACAGGGACCGACGTGGAATCTTCAGACTGACCTGTTTTATACAGACGTGGAGACAATTGTGACAGTTGCGATGGACTGTCAGTAAGTCCGGGTTAAGTCTAATCATTGATTAATCCAAAAAATTGACCAGGTAATGCTGTGCTCTTCGTGGTTGTCCAATCAATCGGTATCACTCCTCAAGGTATAGAGATAGCATCTCCGGGTGCAAGCTCTAGCCCAGCTCCTCCGCGTCATTGAATCTGCTGACTATTGACGAACAATGTTCCTCTCGATTGTACCTTCTCATCTTCCAGCTCGGCTCTTGAAAAATTTCCAACCCCTACTCGAATGCTACTAAATCGAATGCTTGCCTTCCAAAGATTAGAGAGCGGGAAGAGAGCACAAAATTAGGGAAAGCAGTGGAAGCATTAGCGAGAAGAAGAAAGGAAGAGGAGAGGAGTGGAGAGTAGAGGAGGCTCTTATGCGGCTCCGTCGAGAGATCGGGCATATTCTTAGTGCGTCGCCATTTTGAACTGTTGGAGACCGAAGTATTGGACTTGGAAATTTTTTTCCTTTGTTTGCAACTTGTGCTCGGAGATAGATCTGCCTCCGACCAAACTTTTCATCTGCAGTTTCGGGAGCGAGGATGAACGACATCGATGACCACTTTCCAGCTTGCGCGGTGGGCTGCTGTGTTGGATGGGGCATCTTCGGAGGGTTTGTTGCATTTGTTTTGTTCCTATTGTTTGGAGTTTTCGCTCTCGTGCCCGCCGGACCCTTTGAAGAACGGGAGATCACTCTGGGCATCGTGCTGGTCGTTCTGGGATCAACGGGAGCAGCGAGCATCGGCGGATACATCGCCGTGGGCATCCCCTGTTTCGGATGCGGGTTCTGCATCGACAAGGCATTGGAGTCGCCTTGCGTCTGATGGCCGACTCTGATGACGAGATGACTGAACCTCCTGTTCCTGGCCGACTTTACGTCATGACAAGGCACGCAGAACAGGCCGAGCAGCAACATTCTAGAACGTGAACGTTTGAAGGAGGCCCGAGAAGACGAGAGACGCTGCAGAAGAGGATTCCTGATTATCTCTCGACTCTAGAAGAATCCTTCCGTTCTGTTCCTGCGGTGAAAACATCAGTGCTCGGTTCCACGGATCGAGCTCTTCGCGTCCAGATCATAATGAACGATGTTTCTCGAAATTTGTGTTACACATTTTCGAGTCGTTCGAAATATCGTTCGAAGCTGTGGCTCGCACGGTGTTTCTGGAAATCTCTGAAAAGGAAGTCTGTAGGCAGGCGACTGATCTTTGGATGAAGGAAACCAATTCGCAGAACTTCCAAGAGTCACGAGAGAAAGTTCTTTCATAGCATTTTGGTTTAGGGTGGACTTCGAGGAATGATAAGTTCTCAGAGATCTTTTGTGCAACTCTCGCCGAGGACGATGATGAGGAACACAATTTAGTCGACCTTAGCAGAAGACTACCGCAAGCAGCCTCGGCCTGTCAGTTGCATTTTTAGTTGAGTCAGTGGTCCGATGAGCTCCAATCTTATCTTCTGGAGCCAATAAAGTCCGATGTACAAAGTGTCCAGGTGCCCCAGTTGTATTTTTTATGAGTGTGGGTAAACCTGGCGATACATTTTCTCGTTATATCACTGATCACTTTGGTAAAAAAAATCAGATTTTTATATTATGGCACTCATTTGTTCTTCCATAGTTTTATCTTATTTCAGATGATTGTCCTCAACAGCAGCGGAGCTCAGCAATCGCAGAAGGCGGGGCAGTGAAGCCAATTTCGTCTGCCGTCTTCAAAAATCTCCAACGCTGTGTCATATGACCGAAAGAATTGAGTATGGCCGCAATCTGTCTGTACTCACAGGCCGTTCAACGGCGGCCCGCAAATCAACTGCAGTGCTCTCAAATAATATAACATATAAAACCTACCAAGGGGTTATGTTACACACTGTGACAAAAGTGGGACTGTGTTGTTATTCCGGCTCAAAATTTTCGCCTCTTGTCAAGAAGAATGTTACAGAAATTGCGCTCACACTTGATTCCAAGCTCGTAGCCAATGAAATGAAACCGGAAACCTTAGAAAAATTCCAGCCCATTCAAGACTTCAGGGCTTTCAGATCAGATAAGTATCGAAGACCCACACATTTTCGGTAAGCTTGACTACCGCGGTATCGCTGACAGTTCTAACACCTCGTCGAGCTTTGCTCGAGAGAAACCTTCGTTCTCTATCTGTGCCCTTGGACCTCGACATTCATCGATAACTCAATTCATGAGAGCCTGTGAGAGAGAACAGTGCGACCATGCCTGACCACCACCGCCACACGTTACAGCGTTCGAACGTTCAAACCCGCAATGGGTTCGGATATTCAAACACCTTGTCGACAGAAATTCAAATCTACTACTCGCTATGTCCGCGTGCGCATCCGCGTCTATCAACGGCCGAGACATGTACTGTACTTGTTCAGATGATGGACGATCGCGACGTTGGTATCAACGGAGGACGATGAAATGACGAACGGACGGCGCCAGTGCCGTCCGTTCCGAGGCAAGGGCCGAGAACATGCAAACCCTGAGGCTCCATGTTCCAAGAGGCTGAAGCGGAAGGAGATTATCTGCCCGAAGATCCCGGTACGGCACGTCGTCATGGACATGGGCTGTCGAGAAATCCGAGTCGTCGTCGTTCGTCAATGCAACGTGACGCCCTCGTAAAAGTATTCACTCCGATCACAAAAGTCCATCACTCTCGCTCTGGCTTGCAATGGTGGCCTCGGAGCTGCGCCGAGGATTTCACCTGATTCTCTCTCAGCGGCACTCTTCAGATATCTGACAATAGATCTCCGAACATCTCACACGAGGATGAGCAAGCGTCGTCTCCTCTCTGCTTGCATTCTTTCACTCCACAGCCAGTAGAAAACCAAGCATCGTATTACAGTCGTTCATTAAAGTCACAAAGCGCGTCGATGTGTATGCGTGTCCTGACTTCAGGGCTCAACAGTCATGGCGAGGATACTCTACACAATTAGATCGATGATCCGATGGCAAACATCAACGAACGAACAGCTTTGTGCACCCATGATGTCCATTCCAATCAAAAGTCAATGGAGTTGAAATCCCGCGAATTTGAAGCCACACATGTACACCATCGTGGATTTTTATATCCAGATGATGACTTTGCCTTCGACCCCTGAGTCTGAAAGTCGATCTTGCCTTCTGAGGTCGATCGGCAGCCAAAGCCAAGAGTTTCAGAATGCTATTTTGGAAGTGTTCGACGTTCAACACTATACTAGATGCTACACCTTGTTTTGAGCTCTGAATAGGAAAAACTTCTTTAGTTTACCTGGCAGTTCGAAGCGGTTGGAGATGAAGATATCTATAATTTGGTATGATTCGACAATCATAATCATTCCATGTACTTGAATGCTTAGTATGAAGAAGTGTTGCATCGAGCCTTGACCGCCGCATGTGAGGATGAATAATATATCCGTGTACACTGAGTGAGAGTGATGACTTGCCTAGTCGATCTAATTTTATAATTAAATATATAACCCTAAATGTTATATTCATAAAATTTTTGAAGTTATGATTTTCCATACTTTTCAATGATATATCAATTTTTTTTGAAGATGATTGACAATTTTATTCTACAAAATGAATGAACACATCCATCTTAACTTCGTGCATAGTCAAAGTTTATGGCATGTCATTATTGCACAAACAACTATCCATACTTATAGTTTAAGCGAAATTTCAACGCACTGCATATTGACTGATACAAGCAGAAACTAAAACACCTAATATAAACATTAATCTATATTTATAACATAATAGTGTCCAGTCTGTACGACGCTTCCGGTCACGTGGAATGGCTCACTGTGAACGTTTACATGAACGTGGTCACATGAAACATTCTCATGGTTCTACCGACATTTGTCAAGCCATCCGAAAGCATTTTGACTTATGCGGTGAACCCTAAATAGTCCCTACCAGACAATCTATAGAAACGAACATTTTCAAACAAAAAAGGAAGAATGATTGATATACCATGTAAAAAAAGCATTGCAAATGTTGCATGAGTAATATTCGTTTGCCTCGTTGGGACAAGTCGTAGTGAGTACCCGTTGGGACAACGGGTACCGACAACGAGTTGTGATCTCCAGAACTAAATCAAATATTTGAGATAAAGACATGAACAACGTTTAAAATTGAGCTTTATGAAGAAAATCCTAATCGCAACAATACGATTTCTATAAGGGACAATCAAGTCCTAAACGACAGAAATCCAAAGCGGCTTATCCTAGTAAATCAAGAAAGATATGATTAGCTCTAACTGACTCATACAATAAATGTTACCCGCTGATACTTTTTTTTAGATTGTTCTGTCATTAAAAAATTGAAGGTGTGATAAACTAGCCTTTTCAATCCATGTTGCCACTGCATCATAAACAAATAAATCACAAAAAGATGATCTCCAATGCGATGTAATTATGTCAAATAAATTTTATTATTATTCTCATATTCATGTTTTTTTTGGAATTCAAAATTATATTTGAATTAAAAATACATTTTTTTTATAATATGTGCCTATTATTTATACTTATTTTACTAAAGTTAATTGACTAACTTTTCATCTGTCTTTTAATATAAATTGTTACACATTGTTTAAGTGGATATACAAAATGAGGATCCGTGAATACAAATTGATTAAGTAAGTGAAATATAGAATAGTGTTTATCCAAAGTAATTATGAAAGGAAATTGTAATAATGGACAGAAATCATTCCAATATCGCAGAATCACAAACGTAATTCTTATAAAGTGGAACTTTTGCTAGTTATTTGCCAAAGGACACATTATTTTGTTGAAAAAAAATTATTTGGCTTTCATCATTAGTTGATGAATTTAAAACATTAAACAAGAATCAAAAGTGATTAGTTCAACATCTGAAAACATGCATGAGCACATACATGAATTAGAATTATTTGACTTCAAATGACTTTGGATATAATAATGTGATTTTAACCAAGTCCAATGATTATCTTCTACATTAAATTATTTTATTTTAGATTAAAATATATAATCATATATAACATAGACATATAACAAAGATATCAATTTGTATAAAACAATTTGTACTCAATGTAAATGCACAATCTAGTGATTCAAAACTCATCCCAACATGAAATTTGCATTACTAGATTTGAAAACATTTTTCTATGCATAATTTTATCAAAAAGTATCAGTTACGTGTATACATTGATTCATGATCTTTTAATTTTATAATATTCTCTATAACATAAATGAATTGTACATTGTTGTTAATGAGAAGATTACTCTTATAACTTTGTAGCAATATGAATGAAGTCATTCTATGTGCAATGGACACTACTCACTCATTGGCGTCTAATTCTGGTAACCGTATAAAAAATTCATGTGCGGTAAATACCAGACCATATACGGAGGGTACGCCACTCAAATGCATGGTAGTTATGTGTGATTTACGTCGCGGCATATTAACGTCATCATTAGCTTAACACTTACGTCTCACGATACATGCAGCTCACCAGTAGCGTGAAACAAGGAATTCCAATCAATAAAAGCCCAGAATTCTCCTTCTTCGATTGAAGAAGGAGAATTCTAAATGGGAAAAGAAACCTGGCAATTGGTACTTCGATTCATATGAGCATGATCTGCGCACACGAGCTTTGATTGCCTTGCTTCAGATACCGCAGAAGGATTGCCGTTTGCCCACAGTTGTGACAGTGCTGGAGCTCGAGTTCTTTCTTCTAGACGCAGCGAATGTCAATATAGTGCTGGGTACATGAAAAGACACCGAGCTCAATGATCTCCCTCTTTCTCTCTTTCTCTCTCTCTCCCGCCAGACAAGTGGAGAGCACTCCACGATCTTGAGCCATAAGAGTCCTACACATGGACGCAAAGATTATAAAGATCGGAGTCAAAGATCCTTCCACAAGATAGTCTCTCCAAGCCGTTCATAACCCAAATCGCTGCAGTACTGCGGCACCTGCCCCCGTCACTTCATCTGAAACTTGTACGACTCGTCCCCACGTACAGTTCGCTCACATGCCTCACCGACTCGAGAGAATCCTCGGTCGTTATTCCGGCCGGGTTCATAGCTTCAGCGACCTCGGCAGTCAAGTCTGATATCTGAAATCAGTCATATCTCAGAATTGTGACTTGTCTCGAATTCCCGACTGACTGAGCTTCGAGAGCTCTTGAAGTGCTTTCTCTCGCCGATCCACGGACCCAGAGCTGCACTATTCTCGAGCACAGTGGCAAAATTTTGGGCATGAGGTCAGCTCCCGGAGCGGCCGATGAGGCCTCTGTGGACCTACAGTGGGAGCGAGCGCACTAGCGAAGCTGAGCCGACTCGGAATAGTGCGAACAACGGCAACGAGGACGGAGGCCAGAATCGCGCCTGGGATTCAAGCACCGAGGTGCCGTTACATGTGAAACGGCCGTGAACAACGTGCAAGTTACGTGACGGAGAGAGAGACTTGAGTGAGTCGTCGAGTCAGTCGTCAGTCGACCCGTCGAAGTAAAATTCAAGAAGTCTTCTTTCGGTGCTAATTTGAACGCGCTGTGACGTAACGAGAACGGGGGTTTCGTCTTTGAGAGTGTGACATCGATTGCTGTGCGGGACGAGACCCGAAGTGAAGATCGGAAACTCCGACTGGACGCAAGCGAGCGAGTTAGCGAGCGAACGATTGATTGCTCGAGAGTGTGAAATTATTTCGTGTGAAGCAGGACGATACGATGGGCAAGTCGAATGAGGAAACGTTTCCAGCGTGTACTATGGGCTGCGGCTTTGCGTGGGGATTCGTGGGCGGATTTGCGGGACTTGTTCTCTTCATATTGTTCGGTGTGTTCGCTTTGGTTCCAGCGGGCCCCTTCGAGGAGAGGGATAAGACTCTGGGCATCGTCCTCGTCGTGTTCGGGGCGACGGGCATCTCGACGCTGGGAGGTTACTTGGCACTCGGCATACCTTGTGCTGGGGTCGGCTTTGCCATGGACAAGGCTTTGTCGCACGTGTAATTGTGGTTCTCTGCACATTTGATCTCTGAGATCGGCATTCTTTGCTGGAATTCGCTCTTCTCCCTCGTGCATCTGATCCACGAAGGACACGGTTTGCTGCATCTTCCTCAGCTTCTGCAACCCATACGAAAAGCTGAAGAGCCTCGGTACGACTTGTACCAGCTGCGGCACACGTACACATGTACAGGAAACAGGAAATCATCGATGTCGTTCTTAGTTAGAAGCTCGTGTGAATATAAGATGAACCACTCCGTGAGAACAGTGATTCTGAAAGGGATATCGCCCAATGGGTAGACGATAGTTAGTCAGACATATACCGTCTGCGCCAATGTATGATCTCGATATCACGCACTCTCTTGTTAGAACTAAATGAACATTTTGTGACAGGTGACGATGGCCACTGATGATAGAATATCACATTGATACTCTCAGGTCCTTTCTTTTAAATTCTTCACTGACAGGAATTATTGGATCAGATTTAAATGAATCATAAAGGACATGGTTTTCACATTTGAAACCCCTCTCAAACCTGTACTCAGGTAACATTTGTAAACTTCGTAGATGTCCAGGAAAGGTAAATTTGTCCTCCTCCAACTTGTTGTCAGCTTATCAGCTTATACTCTGTGACAGTGAAGGTGATCATGTTGGTGGAGTTTTGCTCAAAATCACTTTGTACATCCATTCTTAGCGACAGAGGAATGTGTCTTGTAAGGGTATTGTTTCTAGACTAGTAGGAAGTGGGTATATTGGACGATCTAATATACTGAAGTTTCACCTTATATTCAACAATGATCATCATTGAAAAGAGGTCCCTCAAATCAGATTCCCATAATTACAAATTAATCTCGTTTAAAATCTACCGCTGGACTATCTGCAGGAATTCTACCTGGCCTGGCCCCAAAGTCTCGTAGTTGAGCTTGTTACATCTTGACTAGGTGGTGCATTCTTCCATCTTGCTGCGAACTCAAATTTGGCCTCATCTCTTGTTTGCACGTGTATTTCGAGATCATTCTCCTACACTTTATGCGACTAATGTCTTGTTGAACATTCTAAACTTTATGCCGAGCCTTGGCACATTTAAAACTTTTCTTCTTCAAAATATGTAGTTAAATCTCTCTATTTGCGAAGAGGGTCGAGAAGTGCCGTCCAGCAGAAAATACATGTCCTCAAGTCTTAAACCACACTTGTGTTCTTGGCCTAACACTCAGAACAATGTAATAGTTGCTGCTGCTTAGAGTCACAACGATATGGTTTGACATACTTGTCGACTTGACTGGTTGCATTAGGACACGTCATGCCTAGGTTTCATAATGAAGTTGAGAAACTATGAATATAGAGTGGTCTGATGTCTTTGAAGCAATTAGATTTCATCATGAATCTCCAGTAGATAGAGGATCATAAAAAGACATTTTATAAGATGATTGAAGCATCCAGCTTGATTCACCCGTGATATGTATAGGACTGACTGAATTCAGTCCTTTGGCATGGGATCCACAGCTTGCTCGCAGGTCTGATACTTGGTCTTATACACGCGCAACTGAGAGTGCCAGTTGCTTCTTGTGTATTATGTAAACACTGGCAGTCTAATAAACATGCGGTATAATCTTCCAGGGTACTTTTCTGCAGTAAACCTCCCAGTATCTTTGATACCTGTCAAGCATAAAAGAAGGTGATTCTACTCTCAAGTCAAAGCCGAAAGCAAAAAGATGCCTCCACTCCGTAGGCGGAAAGGTGGCATGCCAGTTTGTCACTGGGTTGTTAGGACGGAGCAGTACTTGCAGGTTTCAAAGCAAAGTAGTTGTTTAAAAACAGGTCCATGACCAAGAACTAGCGAAGGATCAAGACACCTCGAAAGTGGGCATGCACCAAACATTCAATTCAACAAGGGTAAGTACTGTACTTACTTCCTTCTGCATCGGTGGTCATCCCTTTTGGCACGATCGAAAAGCAAAAACGAGAGGCCCAGGAAGTAATAATAGGGCAGAAACTGCAACATTTGACGTTACCGGCTATAGATTACTCTTTTGAATTAGGTGGAATTACATTTGTAATTATTCTTCTACTTAGAGAACTAAGGTTTGTGAATAAACATTTCCTCAGTACAATGCATATTAATTAGGGCATGAGCATTTTGTCCACACGATAGAATGTGACTAATATACAGTCAATGTGCCTGCAACCAGTGCGATGACAGTCGGCATGCACCGGTGGTATGAAACAACGCGCCAGGCAACCTTTTCTTCATTTTGCTCTATCTAAGTTTGACAAGGTGTGAATCCTACACAGAGGAATCTACTTTCGTGCACAATGAGAAGGTGAATCTAACGGTTGTTCAGGAAATAAAAGTATCACAAACGACGGGTTAGAAACACATACATGAGTAAATAAACAAGGCAACGTCCACAGGAAGGCCGAACACAACTCCGGCAGATAGTGGAAATTACGAGCCAAGCCCCACCTGTTCCGTACACTAATAAGATTAGTCAAAATCCCGGAAGCCAGAAGGTTTTTAAGACAGTGAACAACATCAAACTCTGGGTTCGACATTATATCTGGTGTGACTAGATTTCTAAACTCCTGCGAAGGCATTGAAATTGATGGTAAATGTGCGTCATTTTGACCCCGTATTTGTTACGGACCAGCAGCTACCTGCAGGACAACTATGGTGATCTGAAAAAACAACAATATTACATTTCAGTGCGTACGATTAAGCCAGTAACCCTGCCACGCTAATGTTCAAGTTGACAGAAACGGGAAAAGGTTCGGTCACACGAAAGTACTAGAAGGACGAGGTTGTCAAATTTGAAGAAGGTTTGTACCAGCCGGAAGTTAGGAGCGGGCTTATGTGATGTTCACCGTTCTCGATAAGGTAGTGAGCAATGATCTGACATTGGCATTTAGTCGAAGTTGTGTTACAAAAACTGTTTATTCTGTAATTTCGTTAGTACGTGTTGAGCTCATAATCGTCAGTACACCGTCAGTACACTTCAATGTACCGAAGAAAGGAGAAATTATTCCTTTACATATGATTTACAAAACTGCCGCATGACTTTCGGAGAATAGTCTCGATCCGAACCTTGGTTGCGGGTTTTCCCCAGATGTGGCATCTTCCGTTCGCTTCACGAAATTTTGCCTTTTGGTTGTCGCAATCATAGAGTATGCAGATCGAAATGAAGCCCAAAACGAATATTGTAACAGACACCTGCGTTAAAACCAAACCCACCAAATCAGAAGACTCGGACCACACACATTTTCGAACTCCTCGGGAGATTCATGTACAGGCCGGTGAGTTAGGAGTAGGAAAATCAATATTTTCTTCGAACTGACGATAATTGGTCAACAGTGTTTAGAAACGAAGATTATTATTTAGGTACTACGTAGGAGCAACTGCAGTGAAACCTCCTTAGAAGGTACAGTACAAATTTCATATGAGTATTGCTAATCAACCACAACAGGTGGTACATGGAATTACCTTCAACCCTAGCTCGATCGGGTGCGATGCTAGAAAAAGTGCTGGAGATGTGTAGACGCTGGGGACCCAGACCAACGAGCACCACACGGTATACAGCCCGGCTGCAAGTTTCCAGCCAGTAAAATCAAATACAAGCATTTGAGCTCAAAATGAGGACTTCTCTTCAGATTCTAGAGCAAGCCAGTATGCAGCGGTTATTATCAGCTTATGAAGTTTTTAAACAGCACTTTGTTAACAGTCTACAAACTGCTTCACGTTTGCTCAGGGAGTAGTTCTGGAGCAGATTGTTTATGTAATGTCTGTGGAGGCATGGAATGAGAAGATTTTGATTTCCGGGGAATTACTTACTACGATCATGTGCCATGTCCAGCGAGCTGAGGTAGCTATGTTCTAACCAAAAGTGCTTGGTTACATACATCAGCATCAGCGAACCGGTTACAACCATGGAGTCGTGAAGGTGGCCAAACGTTTCAATCTGACAGAAATTTGTCCAGAAATTGCGCAAGTACCGCCAAATTAGAGATGTTCTGTTAGAAATGCTGGAATGCACTCACTTTATCGCTGTCGCGGACACCATATTGTATGTTTACGCCATGTTGTTTTCAAAGTACAGCCGAGATACTTATCAGTTAAGATAACAAGGAGTCTTCAGATATGGATATCAAGTAGTTGAAGGTACAGTATTTAATCTCTTACAGATTTGGGTCCAGAAGGACGCTCAAGGGTCATGGTTTTTTCACCTGCTTGCACATATAACTAACTACCAGTAGAGCCCAAGACGTCATCGCTATCCTTGAAGTGAGAAGCTCCCTCATGTCAAGCCATCGTCCTATTTTTGGGTGCAACTCCATACCCTGTGAAAAATATACAGTGCATACTTAGTGTCCCATTATCCCAACTGGCCCAAGTTTACGTCTATTGCTGATTCAAAATGACAGAAGGAAATAGCTTCGAACCTCGCCGCTCTCTAAACAGTCTTACCCAAAATATGTCCAGAATAATACTTCCCGAAGAACGACAATCCGAAGACGAAGGTGCCAAATAACCCTGCAATGATAGAAACTGGACTCAGATGTACATTTTCATGTGCTTCCTTAAACGGACAACCGTTTAACCGTCTTCATATTTAAGGGTATCAAAGACTCCAAATTCCGTAATTACAGAACGTTGGCCAACAGGAGTTCAAAATTCCAGCCACTGGAGCGTGAAGACTTGAGAAAGCGATTTTTTTGTGATCCGTTGTGTAAAAAACTTCGTCTAATTTGGTTTTTTCTTTTTGCAAAAATGTCCTTAAAAATAAATTACCAGTCGTAAAGTCTGACGGTGTTCTTACCTCTCATTCTAGCTCGTACAATTCTGAGAATTAGTCCCAATTTCAATTGTTTAGGACTTAGTACAAAATATGGTACACAAACTAAGGGCAAGAACTATGATTGTAAGGACGCTCTAACGAAATAATGGGTCGAGATATAGAGGACGGATGGTTCATGATTTTGATATCTTCTGGAGGAAATTGGAACACGAAAGTCTGGATAATCACCTTGACATACAGGAGGATGCAGAGGACAACAGAAACGCAAATTGAAGTGGATATGATCTCCCCCAAATGATCATAGATGGTGGCAGGGTTGAAGAATCCTTCCCTATTTTCAATAAACACCACGGAAACGAGCATAGTAGGTGACTTGTTTTGTGATGATAAATTGTGATCTGACATAGAATGGTATGACGATTGCTCAAGATGAAATCTGATTGTAAAGTTTATTTGAATTCAAATTATGGATCATCACCTCCATGTGATCCATGTTGTCAGCATTGTTATCCAATAAGCTGCAAATCCATTTTTCTGCAATAAACGCCCTGGACAAAATGAGGTCCTAGAATGTAGACTGGCTCAAACACGGTACCTTTGTCTTGAACACAGTGTAAACATCATCCAAATAGCATTACAGCTAGCCTTAAAACGAGGTATAACTCCTCTTTTCTATTCCAGCAGATGCCTTTCATTAAATAATCCTCGGTTTCGAGGAATACAAGAGAAAAATATAGGATGGTTTACTGTCTATGGTGAGATAGTCCCGTCACTTGAAACCGTGGTTTTGGAAGGTTCTAGATAATGTACATAGCTTGCCTTTCCTGTGGCTCGCTAAAACACTTCACAGATTGAACATATGACGCAGGTGAGGGGCGCTCAACTTGTGTCAAAAGGGTACGTTTTGACCTTGTAAAGGGGTCGATTTCCCCGAGGAGTAACAGGTCCAAAGAAATAAGCTCCTGGCAGCAAAATCTGCATCAGTGCTTGGGAAACAGCCAACGCACCAACTGCCATACAGCCGAAGAAAGTAGGAACTGGCCAAATGTCCACGATACGAAGTAAGCTTTTTTCTTGACGAATATGGTTCCTCAACTGAATTATGGATCCATCTAAATATCGATGGGCATACCACCTGCGCAAGTTCCCACAATAAACTGAAAACGATTATGTTCGTTATAACTGTGCGATTCAGTGAAGACTGTTTTTACATCGAAGGAGGAGGAGGAGTGAAGCCTCCTTCAACGTATCATGTTAGTAAAATATTTACGACGATGATGACATTCAAAGTTAATTTTCATGTTCCACCTTCTTTGAATTTCAACTATAGTAAGCCAATTTATTTTGCGATGCGTATATTGATAGATAATAAGAACCTCTAACGCTAGTCAATCCGTTCGCTTTTCGGAGTTTGTAAAACTCTGAATAAATACTGCGCTTATGGTGAGTCAGGAATCTACACTCACATGCCATGTCCATACAGTTCACACAAGAAGTTGCATGGTTCGGAGTTATGTTCCTTGAGAGGGACAGGGGAGTGAAAAGCTGGACTCCGTTTACGAGTGAGATACTGTACTACAGATCCCAAAGGTGTGTCAGCATTCCTCTGTTGATCAGGGCTTCTTCGTTTATGGTGTGTTCTCTCCAAAAAGCTACAGTTGTATCTTTGGAATCAGTGACACCTCACAAGAGCACTGGATCTACAGGATGCATCAAGCTACAACATGTACGAAGCTACGAATTTTCTTCCATGTACGACTTGATGGGATCTTCGCATCCGTTTTGTTGTCCTACTGTGTATGGCAGCTAACAAGTAAGACGCTACATCTGAACATGAACCGTAATTAGTTGATCCTGTCAATCTGACGATTTCCTGCTTGGACAAGGGTTCAGCTGTGTATTACTAACCTTCTCGATTCATTCTGGAACATCAAACACCGCTATCATGCAATTCGATCCGTCTGCTCTTTGTTTTGGAGGTGACCTAGCTAAGTTATAATATGGACAACATGTGCGTGTACGGGATACTCTGGAGTTATTTCTTGCAATGTGTGATCTGGACTTCAGTTAAAGCAGGTAGTTCGGAGAACACGAGGATGATTGAAGAAGCACTCTTTATTATTCTTCAGGGAGATCCAGTTTTTCTCTTCAATCTGGGAAGCGAAACAAGAAGTATGGGGTGACGTGGGCATGCTGGCGTACATGTAAATGACCATAGTTGGACAGAAAATGACCATGCAGGCGATTGCAAGATAGGTAACGCTTGCAGACGGCACTGATGAAAGGCAACTATAACCGGAACTGGTTGACGCATCCTCCTTCCCTAGCTTTTCCTGTGATCGAGTGGTAACGCGAGCTGATTTCTCAAAACGCGTGGGGCTCAACAATCGGGGACTTCTCCCACCCATCCCCGCTCTCTGTACTTTTCGCGTGGGACTTTTATACCGAGGGCTTTTGGCCTCCATCAATCCTCTCAGTTCCCTCCAGGATCCAGCAGCAGGGAGCTTTTCGAGCTACCACGAACTTCACGAATCCCTGATTCGTCACAACTTACAACAAGCACTGTGTTCCGGAAGTTTAGGCTGCCTCTGCAGTCCACTCCCAGTTGCAGAGTTCACGTGTCATAATTGTCCTCCGCGCCTCAGTCATACGAGCAAGAAACGACCCAGCACCTTCGGGAGGTTGAATGTGACGAATGCTGCAATCGGAGTGAACCGAGAATCTTCATGATTGTCGTCTCGAGTTCAATCACTACGAAGGGAAGAGAATGTAGATACGCCGCAGTCGTCCGTGTATGACGTGACACTCCTCACCACATCCAGACAGTTGCCACTTAGGTTCAGTAAATTTCCTCTGCCTCCCCGTCAGAGCAAGTTCAATGCCGAAGACGAGCCTCCACCGGAAGCTGAGGCAAAAGATTTCTCGAATCCTCTCGGATCAATAACTCTCATAAAGACGTGTAAATGAGAAAGCACCGGGAGACGAAGCGAATCACGAGAGGCATTTCGGTGCCACCGAGGAGAGCACTTTCCTTCAGACAGATCGACATTTATGTTCGGCCACAACGACCAGACTCTCTCGCTGGCTCTGGCGCTCCCCGGGTCGCGCAAAAGACATCAGAACGAGGCAGAATCGCTCGCTCGGATCGCCAAGCGCGACGAGTGGCAGGCTCGCTCTGACACCGTCCAGGGGCGCGGGGGAGGCAGGCTCATGAACTCTTCGGCAACGCTCCTCGTGCCGCGCCTCGGGGCCTGACAACGAGCGGAAGTTCGTCCGAGGTTTGTTCGTTTGTTTGCGCGAGGCCAGGGCGCGCCGGCGCGGACGTCGGGCTGCAAGCCCTGTCAGCAGTTCCAGTGCAACTGCCACGCGGCATCGTGTCATTCAGATCTTCGATGGAGTTCATCATTCCTAATCCGGAGCCAGAACCCGCATCATGAGCTCGTAATCACCAAACATCAAACATCAATACCTTCGCCTCCATTCTTCCGTAATTTGGAATAGTTTTCTAGTTGACATGTCTGATTTCTCTTCCTCGTCTCCTTGTACGTAGTGAGACTAACTCTTGCATTCTCCCCGATGGACGTAATTGCGTGCAATTATGCCGACAACAGGTGCATGATTAGAATGTTTATTACACCAATGACATGGAAGATAACTATTCTTTTTTCATTATAAATGCAATAACTAACTTTTATTGAGTGTTACTATTACTAGTGCATGAGTATTGCATGTGTTCTTCATGGCATGATTTTTGTAATCAGCATGAGATCATGATATGATTTATCTTGTTTGAGCATATATCCATATATTTTTTCTCGATTGTAAAATTATTGCTCTTGAGGCAAACATCTACTCCTTTTTGCACGTAGCAAGTACTGAGGATCACGAAGAAGCACAACGTTAAATCCCAATTTTTTTCTTCACATATTCTAATGTTACAAATTGAAACTCTGTTGATTTAACATTCAACCGTTATCATGATAATTGGTGACTATACTTGATATATAGATCGAAATCGAGATGCATATATAGTTGGCCACTTGTGTATCTCTTGAAGACCTTTATGATGGTATTTATGAGTCTTTTTGTCCCTTTGACTTGGGCTCCAACTTTATATGCAAGTAGCAGGGTCTGTTGAAAGGTCTGAACTTACTTGATTTGAGGGGAACTAAACTGATTTGACTCAATATGATTCCGCTGAAGCTCAGGTCTTGGATGTAACTCAGCTCAAAGGAGAAGAACAATCAAAACTCTAGAATGTAAATGGATCCTTGATCGGATAAGACCTAACGATAATTTGGTATGTACAAGCCCTTTGTGGTGAATATAAACCTTTGTATGAATGCATATACAGCAGAAATTACCGTATTGAATTTGATACTTCATTCTAATTTGGTATTGGCTGCAAGCAAATATCATAAATTTGGTTTATATACCAACATACTTAATCATAGAGATTGTTCTTGTTCTCACTTAAGATAATCATGGATGAAATTGCATATAATTTGAGGATTATTACAATTAAATAAGTAAAACTTGCAATCACAATACCATCTCAAAGATATCGTGATTTGATTAAGATTCAAAATCAGAAAAATAAATAAATAAATATATTATACACAATAAAGTATGTACAAGTCTAAAGAAGTATAACACCGGTTCTTTGTTATTGATTTTTCAAATGAGGAAAGTAAGTATTGCTAGCAATATATTATTTCTCAAGTCAATTATTCCTAAGAATTTTGATTATTTTTTGCCATAAAATTATCAAAATAACAACAATTAAAATTGATGAAATGCAATACTTTAAATTTTGAAACAAGTTTTTTAATTAATATGATTAATTGCCAAAACATATGAGATGTTATTTAGATTTGTATTATTTGCAAGTATTCATCCAAAAAAAAATTCAAAATGCACGAGCACAACCTACATATATAGTTCAGCACTATGACTCAAGTTCAGCACTTCATGCTTCACTAAAAGATCCTAAAAAGGGTAATTGAGAGCTATTTACATATCTTATATATTATGGTAGCTTTATCAGCTTAACTAAATGTAATTATAACTAACAAGACTTTACTTTAATTCTTACAATTTTAATAAAAATGAATTACATTAAAATACAGTTTGATTTCACATACAAGATTATTGTAGATTGTTACACAATATGTTATTGTTCAAGCAAAAATTTTCATTATCATTTTTTATGTAAATCTAGTTTGAATTTAAAAAAAGAGTATTATGATATCTTGGTTATAAATAATCAAGGTTTTTTTTATAGAATTTGAAATCAAATGATTCAGATTTAAAGTTATTAGACCATGAAAGTCTAAATATTACATCATTTAAAATATATTGAAAATTAAAGATAAAAAAAAAGTATGTGTGAATTCAAAATTTTAAAATATCATGAATGTATTAAGTAGAAAATATTTTTTCAAAATAAATAAATTATATCCATGAAATTTTTAAAAGTTACAAAACAAAATTATCTTAGAAATATTTGACTTTATTGTATTTCAAAATAAGAGAGTCTAATTCTTCTTGAAGTAGAATTAGACTCTCTTAATGTGAATTTCATACGAAGACAAACGTCAATGGATTATTATGCATACAAGGTAATAATCATGCAGTAATTATAATTTTAAAGTTTCAGTAGTATTTCATTTTTAATTTCAAAGTATTTCGATTTTAAAAAATAAGATTTATTAAATTAAAATCAAAATTCAAAAAAACTAAAATTTTCAATTTCATAAGCAAGATTTCATTGATGCATCAATATAATAACAATTAAAGTATGATTGTATTGTAAAATTATATTTTATCAGTATATTTAATATCATTTGAAAAATTATGATTTCAGAATCTAAAAGAGAATGATAAAAAATGAATTATTTTTTTGAATAATCTTGAATATATCTTCAAATATACGGCACATTACATCTCAATGTTAGAACCACATTTATCCAAAAAAGCTTGCCCATGTTTTTGTAGCGATTATTATGTTCAGTTTCTTATTACTAGAGGTCTGTGTTTATCGATTAACAATTATATCTACTAAAGAATCTGATAATATTCTCTTTTGAAGAAATAAAATATTGTATATATATATACATAAAGAAAAAAATAAAAATATAGACGAGGTTTTTATAAAAGTTTAATTATATTGGTAGCGCTATCCGCAAGACACTTCCTTTATTATATAGAAGTATATTTATGTTTTTGAGAAATGTGCAGAATGTACGCTTCTATTGCATATACTACGGTTTTCTTCCTCGATATTCTAATTTAAAGCGTGGAACTTGATGATACAGTATACAAACTGTAAATTGACAGTGCTCTAACTTTCTATGACTTGGATTCCGCGATAATTGATGTCACCGTTGTCTCCCTGTTCAATCTACAGATACTATGGATGAAGTGCTCTTCACACAATCTACTCTACCGTGCTAGTCCGCAATCGTTTGTGCCTAGGCACAAGGACAAACAAACCATTTGTTACCATGGTCTTCGTATTCACTCTCATGCACAAATGGATGCTGTGCTGCTAGCAATACACTCTGAAATTTCAATAAACGGCCCCATCTCTCGTCTTTTTTATTTATACCGCTTGGTCCTCTTTACTGAATTCATGTCAAGGAACTGAAGGTGGAAACCTTGAATACATAACAAATCCCACTTTGGTTCACCATCACGTAATCAAATTGTGATCGTTGTCAAAGCGGAGGTAAGTACAGTAGTGCGAATGCCATGGTTGATGGCGTGAATTAAGTTCCGGACGTCTCATGTAGCTTAGGTGCTAGCTCGAACGAGGGGTTTGGTTTGTTCATTAATTATCTTTGACGCGTCGTTTGATCTCCACATTAACACCAACGTTCTCTTACCATTGTAACGACTGTGTACTGTTGCAACTGTAACTCGTACGTCCTCCGTGGATCTTGACACCATTCGTTCGACCAAGGCCCAACAAAGACGTTAAGATGTATTCGTTCGCTCCTAAGCTAGGGGCTCGCGAGAGTTTCTCATAATTTCCTGCGAGACAGGAGTTAGGGGCTTTAGAGGGGTACTGCGGTGCCGTACTCTCCTTCCAGTTCGCAAACGTTGTAAGCATTTCGTACGTTCGAGAGGTGTCTAGAGCAGAGGATGAGCTCCAAAGCTATTTGACGGTGTGACCTACCAGCCTGACAAGCCCAGTCGACTTACGTGGTCATGGTTACCAGGTTCAGGTCTACTTCATCACGGCTACATATTTCATTCTTGCCACTTTTGCGAAACTTTTCCGTACCCATCCACACTGTATTCGCATGATCAGCATGGTCAGCGGCTCTTTTGAGGGCAACCGGGTTAATGGGTCGATGTCTACAGCCCTACCCCTACCTCCCGTTCCTCTGCCCCCCACCCCATTGTCCTCACCTACATATTCACAAGTAAGTGCGAATGATAAAGAGGTCCACCAAGAATATCAAATACATACGTTTATCCAGGGATCGTACATCTCATTTATTCTTCTATATGTTGTGAAGGATTCCACTCACATGGCACGAATCTTTCTTGGTTGATCGCACCATAACCTTTTCTGCGAGGATGAATATATATATATATATATAATTATCAATCATATATGTTCATTATGGTGTAGAAAAAGATGTGTTACCTCGACACATATTCCCCCTAATTCAGATTTATTGAATGGAATTGTGCTCATAAAACCATTATATGTGCTCAAACGTCTATACGATTAGAATGATGAGGTAAAAAATTGTATATTATAATAAAGTTTTGTATACGAGATTTTTGTTGTTGGAACCTCGTAAGATACCTTGCAAATCATGTTCTTGATTCATTATCATCACAATAGTCGGTGTTGGTACCAATATTTACATTCAAAGGAAGATGTCTGAAATTAGACTGTCTTCATTTCATTATACTTGATATTGATTTTACACAATTTAGACATATGTAGCTATCTTTAGAATCACATCTCTTTTAGGGAAATAAATAATGAAATTATATATTGAATAGTTGTTGTGGGGATAATTGTTTTAATTATCTGAGAATATGTGGAATAAAACGTATTTTGTATTTGCATGCCACAGATTGGTACAAAAATATCAAAATTTTGATGTATTTAATGTATAAATCTTGTTAAAATAAAATTATAACATTTTCTCTTACAAAATATCCTCATATTTAAATTTACATGTTCAAGTCCCGGATATCAGTATGGAGAAGCATTTTTTGTGAATTGAAAATGTTATAATTGTCTTTCAAAGATCCCAGTGGGTTTTAGATTTTATCTAACTGGTTTTGAAATATAAGAATAAGAAGAGATTTCCATTGGCATTCTTTTTATCGAAAAAAATTATCATTTCTAGTGATTACATCATATTCAGATTTTCTATGCTCTAAAAACAGCGTGAGAGTCACTCCCAGATTTTGACGAACTGTTCATTCCAGAGTTTAGAAAGGTGGAAATATAATCCAGATACGAAGTGAAATATATCGGCCTTGACGAAAACAAAAAATACTTCATGAAAGAATTTCAAGGGAAACCAGTCTCAACTGGTGGGTTAATAACAGCGAACTATGATAGGTAAAGCTCTTTTTGCAGATCCTAAGAATCCATACCATCTCAACTTGGGGTGTTCACCCATGATGCAGGATGGACGTAATCCTCAGCGAGGTGCTTCAAATTGTGGTTCGGAAGATGGGTTACAAACGCAAATACTGGTATCATTTGAAGGGTGGATATCAATTTTGCGACACTTGAACAAATTAGTTGCTGCCATGATATATATAAATCCTTTGTGGAAATATATACTTGGCTGAACATGTCTAGTTACTCCATGGTAGATCAAGCTCAGCAGAGTGCATCACGGGGTGGTGTAAAATGGATTCGGCGCTTGTCCACACAAGCCTTCAAGTCCCCACATTCACTGGTCGGTATGTAATGTCATTTACATGTATCTCGAGGCCTTTTTCTTGCACGACTTTTGTGGCGACAATTTGCAACTGTGTCGTGGAAGAGAGCGGTGCCATTACTCATCGTTTTATGAGCATGGAATATGAGTTTCCCTATTACTCTTTATGGGGAATGCCACACTTCATCGTCACATAAGTAGTCAGAACTATGGTCAAAGTGGTGTTATTGAGTTACGTCATGTAATGAATAATTTATCCTTCTCTATGCAAAGTAACGAGCAAATCAATGAATACTGTTCCCAAACTTAGAAGAACGGACTTCCGTTTCTTGCTGTTGATAAGTTGCACAATAAATAAAACTCCCCGCGATTGGTGAGTCTAACTTTAGCAAGACATAGATGCCGACTCCACAGTCCGCCCAAATTTAGAGAAGAACAAGTCTCTGGCTTTTTCCCCAAAGCAATGAGGTAATTGCGGGATATCTACACAAGGCATTCAAAGGTAACCAGTAACGAATGAATGAAGGAAGCCTTTTGTGAGTGGGTCCCCGTTAGAGGGAAGGCCCACAAATCGAGCTGAAACGATACCAACACTCGGCCCATCTTTATGCAGCGGTGGACCACCTGATAGAGCTCCGAACTGGTCTCGTCAAAGGTATGCTCTGTCAAGGACACAACCTTGTTTTGTTTGGATGTACTTCTGTCCGAAAGTTTTCCTCGGTCGCTGTGAAGCTATTCGATCCGCAGTACTCCTGAGAACGCCCTCGAGACTAGCCAACAGAGATGTGGCCGATGTCTTTTGCGAGATGTCCTGTCCATGCTACCTCCAGCTGACCACTTCCTCCTTTCATGGGACTGCACCAAAGCCACCCCTGATTTTTGGATCGGCCGAGTTATCATCGTACGAGCAAACGCAGAAAGTTCACAAATTTGTTTATCTAATTTTAGAGTACCATAGAGCTAAGGTAATCTAGCAGGAGATGTTTGTGACAGAATGTAAAAAAGTCTACGTTATCAGGTGACGTCAGTATAATTGATCTCTTGTTCTTGGACAGTCCCTTTTAGACCATGTGTATCCATTGATGTATAGAGTATTGAACTAGGCGACCCATAAAGGAAAATTAAATATAGGTTTTGTTTTAGATGCTCGTTTGTCTACCTTTGATCTAGTTGTTGAGATATCTTAGGTGTTATATCACATAATTCCCACCGTGATGCTGCTGGGACCTAGCCTCATATCACCCCCTTGGATTCATCCATGTAATGATGTGACGGAGTGAGTATTCATGTGCTATATTTACTTACTTCTATTTGATGACTTTTTCCTTTCTATATGATATCTTACAGTTAAAAAACCGGCATTGTGTCGAGAGTTGTGGAAGTGTTGCTGTCCGGTCAACATATGGAGGATGAAGGCTTTACCGTGACCATTTCTGAGTGTTACCTCGCCCTATTTTTGGTGGGAACCTGGTAAAACTGAGACTAGTACTTCCCCAGCGTGAGACCCAACCATGTGGCCTTGCCTTTAACGCCGGCGCCACTCAGCTCCAAAGAATAGAACAGAAGCTTTACGCAAAAGGGTACATGTAAGGAGCGCTTCCTTCGGGAGCCTTGTTAATACAGGACACGGTACAAAAGGATATCTCGGTCCTGCAACGGGCAACTTGGAGCGACATTATTAGTTTTGTCTGGACCAACCTTCTCTCACACCATACAATGTTCATCCCTTGCATTCAACACCAAAGCGAAATGCATGGCCTCCGCCACGTTAAACAGCGAACTCTAGCTTTCGGAGGTTCAATAATTCTCCACCACATCGGGGGACATTACATACCATATTAGACTATACAATCATAATGGTAGGTTGACTAGGGAATAAGAATGGAAGGGAAGAGCTATGCAATGTAAAATAGCAAAAAGTATGGCAATACCCCCATCAAATCAAGTGGGACATGTAATAACACCAAAGAGTGACGTAGGACTAGATCCCGAGGCAGCTCATTGGGAAATATGTCTACTGAATCTGAGATATCAAAATTGTAGATCAACCGTCTATGAAGAAAAAAAGAGCATCATTATAGATCACCTGTACGGTGAGTGATAGTGCTAACTACGGTTCTCTGAATATCATAAAATAATCAATTACCACAATAATAAAAATGCCCCAATAAAATAGTGTACCACTAAGTTTTCTTTCACAAAAGACCATACTTATAATTACATATAGCTCTAAGGCTAGAATTAAAAAACTATTTGACATCCATTCTACTATGCTTTGACACGTTACCTAGTACGATTGCACTCGATGTTTGATAGCCTAGGTAATCATGGAAAACCTGTAATTTAGATGGACATTAGCGTGAAAACTTAAAATCGAGTCATGTGACCCTATGTGCACATTAAAGAGTAGCGTAACTATCCGTTGTGGAACTGTATGATAGATAAGCTGCACATTTGCAAGACCAATATTAGAATCCCGAACGAGTATAAGCATGCACTAACGTGGATGGGATGCAATGCAAGCCACTTGTAAAATATGCACTCTCTCCTGGGCTGTCAAACACCACCTCCAACACCGCAATAATAATGATAGCCTCACTGCACATGATCGAAAGACGAACATGCGAAGTCTCATGCAATTTCCCACCGTGGTCCCGAACTGGAAAGCTAGCCGTTAAAGGGATTGAATTTGGATGTGATTTCACTCACATCGTAAACAAGGAGGCATCAGTAGCCTCCACGTGAGCGAACATGAGCGCTGATGTCAGCAGCTCTGGAGTAAGCCAAGGTCCACCGGTTCGCTCCGGAGGCGGTGGAGACCGGCTAAGGCCAGTGTCAAGGACCGCGATCGGTCTCCAAACTCAAACACGCCTCCGCCGGAATCGTCCTTCCCCCCTCAGCGGCATGCGAGAGCCGTACGGTGGAACCGGTGATAGACAGTCGTTCAGCCCCGGACATGATGACGTCATCCGGAGGGCGAGGTCCGCGCTGGACTGGACTGGCACTTCCAGCAGTCCTGGCGTAGACAAAGAGAAGTGTGGAGGGGGAAGCGGAGTGTGTCATTTGTCCCCCCTGCCTGCGAGCGAGCGAGCGACGTTAATGAGGACGACGAAGAGCGGACGAGAAATATGCTGTCGAGTTGTTAAATCGCGCACTGGCATCGTTTTGAGCCCCGAGTTCGTCCGATTGCGGTCAGGGGAGGGCGAGCAGGGGTGGGGGTGCGTGGCGAATGAGACGCAGCTCGCGAGCGAGAGCGAGAGCGCGAGAGCGAGAGAGAGATTATAGTTGGAGAGAAAGCGGGGGAAGGGAACAGTGATCCGTATCGTATGTGTGGGACCCCGGGGCCGGGAGTCAGCGGAGGAAGATTGTGACAGGTCGGGTTGGGAAGCGGGCAGGCAGGCAGGGGATGGACGGAGTGCAAGAGAGTTTTTGCTTGATTGATCTTGGATTGTGCTGAGCTGAGCTGCAGTCCAATCTGTTCATGTCAATCGCGACTGTTTTGTGTGAGTAAGAGACGAGCTGACGCCTGTAGAGGGGAGGCAGGCAGGGAGGGAGGGAGTGAGGGAGTGAGGGAAGGAAGGGTGGGGAGAGAAGCCGGGGTGTGCACGAGGAGGTGTAGAGAGAAGGCGGAGGATGATGGTTCGAATGAAGTTCGCCTGCGAGGGCGCACTGGGATGTGTTCAACCTTAGGTGAGTGAGTGAGCGAGTGAGTGCGCCGAAGCAAACGTTTCTCGCTCTGTCGTGGGGTTGGCCTGAAATAAGCTCGAGGAAAATGTGGAAAGTCTGGCTTGGCTGAGGAGCTTCAAATTTGAATGTTTTGCATTCCTCTTTGTCCCTCTGGATGGGTGGAGGAGCCTCCTTTTGACGCCTTTCGCCAGGACCTTGCTGCTGTACTTGATCGTTCTTCTGAAGAGATAGTTTGCTTGTTCACAGCGGGCCTTGTTTCGCCAAAGGTATGGGCGCTTCTATCCACGAGACGACAATGGCGAGCAGTGTGGATTTCTCTATTACGAATGCCCCGAGTAGCAGATTGAACACGCAATTTTCCTCCTTCTTTCGCTGACTTCCAATAGTGCAAGGCTGCAGGGGTTGACTTAGATCCCGATTATCAGTGCTACAGTATACTGCATTGGTCCAGCCTGTGTGCGGCTGAATCTCGTCTCGACTGCATACTTTGTGAAAACGTCAACAAATAGCCATATGAGTCTTGTTAAACAGGCTAATTTCTGGTGTTCCAAATTGTATGTTTCACCTCCCCCTTCGCGTTTCTTTCATGACACGAAAATGCCTTTAGCAGTGACATCGTGCTCGGAATTGTTGGTGGAAGGAGACTTGCTGTTAGCATTTCTCCTCCCCTCAGGTATTCGGAAGAATGAATTTATGATTGCAAGTACACATCCTCGTGTATATATGTCGTACTGTTTCCGTGTAAAACCTTGGGCTCTCTCGATGTCAGCTTGGAATGGTTCTCTTGACCAAAAATAACGCCAGCTCCGTCGAAATTATGCAGGGTGAGCAGTAACGAAGATAGTGAGCCAATATAATTGATAACTACGTGTCAAGTCTGTAGTGTGTGTTTCTGTCCTGCGAATGAGCTGTTCTAAGATTTCGTTACGATGGGTCCTTTGGGAACCCTCCTTCTAATAGTCGAGATCAATTGGGATATATATTCTAGTTTGATATCTCTCCTGCACCCGAGCTACGTAATCGTCGATCCATTGGGGACGTTAGTGAAGGCCCTATGAGCAGCGATGCGGTCGTTGCCGCCTTTGAATGCTCGTGCTGTGCGTGTACTGCCTCCACTTTGCCTCCGCATTTCCGCAACCCAGTTCCGTGAGAGTTCTTAGTGTATTGAACTTCCCAAGTACTGCTTGTGAGTATATGACGTGCCCCAAAGTGCAGTCGACATGAATAGATCGATAACCATTGTCATATTGTGTTTGCAGCTCAAGCGCTCTTTTTCAGCAGGAGTCAAATTTCCAGTCGTCGTAGGGCTCTCGAACCTCAAGAAGCGACATAAACATGGCTCCTGGCGGACTTGCATGTAGAAACGAGGAGTGCCCACGGGAAGATTTGCGAAAGTCAAGGAAGGGATTGAGGAACGACGCATTACTGATAGGAGGGAATCGTAGGTCATCACGAACTTGATCACATTATTCGGCCCTGACTGATACGGTGGTCCCTGGACTCGTCCCGCGAACTTGGGGGTCTTCGTATCACCGTGTCAACCCTTAGTAATCATTGGCTCCTTCCGTCTATCAGTTCGTATGGAGTCCCTCAAAGAATCATCGCCGGCCATCCTTTCCCAAAGATTCTCTCCAAAACGTAGAGTTCCGAAGTACGAGCTGCGCCGCGAGCTGGGATGGTTATGGTTGGGATTGCTACTGGTGTGGCCGACGACCATTCTGGGTCAAATTCGCAACGACTTCCAGGCACTTCAGAACTTCCGCATGACGGCTGATGTGACTGGTCAGCTCAGAGACTGGATTGGACAGGATCCTTGCTCTGGTCCCGAATGGACAGGGGTGGTTTGCAAGAATGGTCGAGTTTTTGAACTGAAATTGGAGAGATTGCAGCTCGCTGGGCCAATCGATGCTTTGATAGAGCTGGATCAGCTGCGTCTCCTCACTTTGAAAGACAACAATCTTACTGGCACCATTCCAGACTTTTCCAGTTGGAGAAATATGCAGCTGCTTTACTTGAATGGAAACAATTTTACAGGCCAGATCCCTGCAACAGTTTCCAATATGCTGAGACTTGCCAGGATAAATCTGCAAGATAATCACCTCGAGGGATTCATTCCGAATGTCTTTGATAATCTGACCAGACTTCAAACTCTGCGCCTCGAAAATAATGACTTAGTCGGACCTATTCCTCCAATAAATAACTCAGGGATCAATGACTTTAGCGTCGCGGGCAACCAGTTAAGTGGTTCAATTCCTTCCACTTTGAGTAGGTTCAGTCAAAACTCCTTTTCGGGAAATGCTGCGTTGTGTGGAGAACCTTTAGCCTTAGCCTGTCCTCCAACCGTAGCTCCAGTCCAGCCTCCGACCGCAGACCCCAACACCGCACCTGGGGAAGCTCCTATTCCTCCTCATAGGAAAAAGGGTTCGAGACTGAGTACCGGGGAGATAGTTGCTATTGTGGTCGGAGATGTGGTGGCATTGCTGCTTATTACCCTTGCCCTTCTCTTCTACTATTGGCGAAGGTACTCTCGAAGAAACCAAGAAAAACCAGCGAAAGGAGGTGATCTGGACAAAGGGGAATTCTCATCCGGCCAGTTTTCAACAGCACAGCTGCCGGATTCGGAGAGGAGCAAGCTCGTTTTTCTCGAAGGAAGCAAGCACATTTTTGAACTTGAGGATCTTCTTCGAGCCTCTGCTGAAATGCTCGGCAAAGGCAGCTTTGGAACTGCATACAAAGCTGTACTGGAGGACGGTTCTGTGGTAGCAGTTAAGCGTTTGAAGGACGTGAGCACGAATGGGAAGAAAGAGTTTGAGCAACAGATGGAGCTGATTGGCAAGCTGAAGCATCCAAATGTGGTGCCATTGAGGGCTTACTACTACGCTAAAGGAGAGAAGCTTCTTGTTTATGACTACCAGCAAAATGGCAGTCTCTACTCTCTTCTCCATGGTAATTATCCACGTCGTAACCCTCTTTTGTACATTTTGCGCAAGTTGACAGTGTTCGTTGCCTCCATTGGCAAACTACAAAAATCTTCTCTTTGTCGGGGAAGCGTACATGCTTTTGGTCTACAAATGATCACGGGAACTTGGCCGTTTTTTCGTATGTCGACCTTGTTTCCTCTTTAGGATTATTCTGTCAATTGTGTCCTTCGACATTCTTGAAGAAGATCCCTGACCGTGTGCGGACCTTTCTCCTCGCCGAGAAGTGGGATCAACACATATGAACAAACGAAGTGGTTGCGAGGGACAGAGGAATCTCTAGCTATTTATTTGTTTCCTACCCTCTACTTTTGTTTGCCAATGACGTGTGAACTTCGAATGACTTATTGCAGGAAATCGAGGACCAGGTCGTACACCTTTGGACTGGGTAACACGATTAAGAATCGCCCTGGGAGCTGCACGAGGTCTAGCGTATCTCCATCAAGAGTGTGGCTCACAGAAGATTCCTCACGGAAATATTAAATCTTCGAACATTTTACTCGACAAGGACTACAGCGCCTGCGTATCTGATTACGGTTTGGCTCTTTTGATGACTTCTTCGGCTGCAACGACACGAATGGCAGGCTATCGTGCTCCAGAACATGCCGATACCAAACGTATCTCACAGAGGGCTGATGTGTACAGTTTTGGGGTGGTCCTGCTTGAACTTCTCACTGGGAAAGCACCGGTACCAGCGTACTCCAACGCAGCTCAAGAAGAGGGTATTGATTTGCCTCGCTGGGTACACTCAGTAGTACGTGAGGAATGGACCGCAGAGGTTTTCGACATCGAGCTCATGCGGTACAGAAATATTGAGGAGGAAATGGTGGGTCTACTACAGGTTGCTATGGTTTGCGTCTCCCCAGCTCCAGAGCAGCGTCCTAAGATGCCACAGGTGGTCAAGATGATCGAGGAGATTCGACCGGATCCAGCATCATCCATGGACGAAGAAGGCTTCGACTCTTTGACTCAATCTCCACTTTCGGACGAAGGGTGAAGAGTCTGTCAAGTCAGAAATGGACGTCACGCGGGATATCTTGTGGGTCTCACAGTAGGGAACCGGAGAATTGCACGTTTAGAAATGATACATAAGCCATGCTTCGCGTCGGCCTTATCAGCTTGGGTTTGCTGTAGACCAGTCACAAACAGAACGCGTGTCGCCATTAAATCGTCAGGAGGTGAAGGTGCAGGGCCAACATCGTTGCTCAAGGTTTTTGACTAATGCAGTTGCATCCTTCGAATTGTCATTACTGTGAGGGTTCAATGGTCAACAATGATGACTACAGCACCACCGCAAGCAAACCAAGTTCTGTCTCTGTAAGTTGGCTGGCCAGTTCAGTAGCAGCATTTGGTATGTGAACCCATGTTACTTGGGTCAATTTTTTGAGCCAGTTACAACTGAAGCTTTTGTCAGGCAAAACATACTCTGTTCTACATGCTCAAATGAGGAAATGTTCTGGTGAACGCCATTCTTGCAATTATATTGTCCTGCTTAACAGGACACAATTACATCTTGCTTCGAAAGTCACAACCGTTAGCCAGATTGGCAACGGTGCCTCAAAGATCTTGGGTTGTAAGTAGGATGTGCATCCTAGCGTAGAGGTCAACTGCAATAGATCCGGTTGTGGTACTACCATCACCGTTGTAATTTGTTCCTAAATGTCTGGTGGATTACATCTTATAATTGTTGAGGTATAATTTTTTGTTTGAACATAAATAAGCTCTACATTCCATCCTTCAGTGATGTGAGTGGGTTTCATTAGAGCCTAAGACCAGCATATCTGCCTGTGATGTCCTTGTGGCTGGCAGTCATGAGTAATCCAAAGCGAGAACGCGGAGATTTACGCAGTATGTGCAAACCATTGGATACAAGCAGCAAGTGGGGGGCTGTAAATAGTGTAGAGTCTGACACATGCGAGCCAATCATGAAACTAACGGCTCACTCGGGAGCGTTTCGTAACGTGCTGACATTCACTCTCGACAGCAGTCCAATACGAACAACTAGATCTCGCTTCAATGATTTCGCCTTGTACCCGACAGTATCATATCCAGAGTATGCAGTCCAGCAGGACAGGTTGTAGCAGGAATGTGAGCACATGGCTTCAAACTGATGAAGATAGGGCATTTAGGTCCAGAAACAAGTTGCCGATTACTTAGAAAACCTGAGACAAAACAAATCCAATACAACTATCAATCACATTTTGCATTAAAAGAGTTTCATCAATGTCTAGAAGCTAAGTAATGTTCGAATGCAGTAAGCTCCCAAGAATAAAAAATCCTAACGATCTCAGATTTTAACATTGTATTGTAGTTGAACTAAATTTTACGATCCAAGCGACCGGATACTAAACTCTGCGACACATGTCACTGCGAACCATTGCTATAAAAGATCGCCTTGCACCAGGGAACTTCAATTGACTCAAGAAAAGGGGTAGCGAAATCCGAGGTTTATTCAAAAGGTTCGATAAGTAAAGACCACAACAAATGCCACAAAAGGTTAGAACTGAAGGTAACAATGTGAGCTTGCACGAGGTGAAAGTGCACACGACCTCAACCTGATCTGTAACAGAGAAATTCCGGTGGACAATCGGGCATCCAATCCTCTGTCAGCAAAGAGGTGGACTGCGTTCAGAGCCGTACATATTCCTGCAGGAGCAATCCTGCAGGATTTGCTCCTGGTGAGAGTGGAGGTTTTGCTGAGCTTGGTGCGAAGATGTATGGTTCGTGGAAGTGCGAACTTCGACACCTCATTCGTGGGAGAAATTCGCTGGACGCCGCTGCACTTAATTCTTCCCACTCTTGCGGCTACCGGTCAGCAACTAAATAGTTAACTATTGAGGTCAACCGCTCAGAGCGGTGGAGCTATTTACCTCCGCATCGTTTCAATAAAGCGCGGGAGATTGAGGCATCTGAACTATTAAACGCACTCACTCACTCACTGTACAGGAGAATGGATTCGACTTGTTGAGCTGTGCTACTCTAGCTGGCCTTTTAAAGGGAGGGGATTTTCAAGATACTGTACTATGGTGTTTTGTGATGGAATGAACCAAATCAGGCCCTCGTGTTTCAGCCTTCCAGGTCCATACCCCTGACAACCTGAGACAGGGTATTGTGCGAATCTAAGAAGCACATGCCTATGATGACAGAAGCTTATACTACTTTCTCCGGACTTGTTCCTTCATTGAACAACTCTACTGGAGATTTAACTTGAACCAGGTTAAGAAACTTTCCGACTGAACAGTTTGGTGGCCTTTACTGATCTTGTAAACAGTCAAATCTGCAGTTGCGGTCTCTAGAGATTGAAGAAAAAAGCCCTCATGGCGCTTACAAACAACCGGATTACGGGTGATTGAAAAGTCAGATTTCCCTGAAGTTTGAGCAACATCTCATCAGGTAAAATGTGCAAGCTTCTCATGTTTGTAAGAACGTTAGACAATTGGAGATATCACTTCTGCTTATTCCTCCGACCCTTTTTAAGCCAGAGGGTATAATCAAATGATTATTGGGTATGCTCTGACATGAGAGTTACCTATGGTACGGAGGTCACAGCATAGGATTTACCACCAACCAATTGGATGTGAGCTGTGTGTTGGTAGCTTCCATTGGTGGAGAGCTCTTAATCCGCCGTGAAACGCTGAAGAAAAGTCCATTTGGCTACTTTTCATGTAACTACAACTCCTCTGGGTTATATTTATATTACGACCAGTTCCAGAGGGATACGTATCGCATGGAGTTCCTTGTGTGTTCATTCAGTTCTTGTAAATTCAATACCTCCACAGAGATACACTCAAATGACAAGTGACTGCTTGGAGAGAATAAAACTTACTGGGAAAAGCTTCCAAAAACAGCTGATCGTCTATTGTTAAGATTGTGGATCTAAAACGTCTAATTAGAAGGAATCAAAAAGAGCGGGTGAGAAGCTGGCAGCTGCAGCTACGACCGAAATATGTCCCTTAGAAACTATCCTTTCTGTCTATGGGAATTCTCGAGGTCCTATCTGTAGCCCGTATTTCGTACAACCGGACTTTGTGGTAACATTCTGTACAGAGGAAGCATACGGAGGTAGTAAGTACAGTTGATGTCTGATGTTGGGGACGCACACGAGGGAAACAAGCCATCTCACACTGCTGGCACCGATGACCAGACGAGGGAACAACTCATTCGGTGTGCATTGGCCTTTCTCGCAAGCAAGGTTGATGTGCAGGTCAATATGCTTGCTTTTGATCAGTTATTAATAAAAAAAACACAGAAGGAAGAATTCATCGAACTTCATCCTTCTTTGGCTTGATTCGCGTACGTTCGCTCAAGCGATTCTCCGTACGTGAAAAAGTGGGATCTTGCACAATCGCTTGCTTCCAAGCCGTAATTATTCCAATTACGGCTTGGAATCGTGTCAAGGAATATTTCAGTATTCCAATGTATTGTAGTTCATATTGTCGTTATGGTATTCGAGGAAACATATGATTGGATTGAGTGTCTACTTACGTTCATTCTGTCCAAATCCTATATTGTTGTATGTACAAGCAATATTTAGTTGTACTTTGTCGTCACTAACGATGTATTAAATTTAGCTTTAGCTTTTAGCAATTTTATTGGTCAAGTGGTTCTAATTATGCAAAATGCAACAATAATGAAAAATAATTTATTTGGCATAATTTGAACCCTTGTTTCTTACGAATACCATCTTTCCTCGGACATCATTAAACCCAGATAACATATTTCCTGATAGGAACCAAATAATGATTTTTTCCACTTATTTTTTTCTTCCCTAAACAGAGTTTGTAATTATATCAATTATACGTAATATACGTGTATTTAAAGATAAAATAATGAAATAATACTTTTCCCAAGTCAAAGTAATTTCTGTACTCGTCTAAAGCAAATACGATCGTTCTAGAATTTAGAATAAAACCACATGTCTGAAACATACATCATTTAGCGGTATTTTGTTCCACTACACAATAATTTCTTGATTCTTTCTGAAAGCAAGATTTTCTTGGTTAACTTCATGGAAGTGCTTGCATTTAAATTGCGCTCTAAGATTGCTTTTCAACTTACATAATCAAACCTCTGTGTAGAATTGGTAAATTCACTGTGGCAAAAATGATTTCATGTTTTTAAAATAGTATAAAATTATTTTATTACAGGTTGAACAACGAGACAGAAACATATGCCTGACACTATAGACAGCATGATCGATTTGTTCAAGTTTGGATTTTAATATTTTCTTTTCAAGTTTCGATTGTCTGACAAATTCGAATTTTAAACTTGGCTTGGAAGTTATGCATGAACGTAACGCTCGCAACTTGCCTCTAGATTTAGCTGCTGTTGAGGCTCCTGCTGTAAACGGTTGATATCCTATAAAAAGTAAACATACTGGAAGGAGAATGATACATATTTCACGGGATCCATCCAAGAAGGAAAAACGATCACAGTCCACTGAAACTTACGTTGCGATCATCAAACTCTGATCAAAATGTTTCGTTCTGTAATAAATCTTGCAGAGCAGTAAAGCCTCAGTGTCAGGTAGTCAATATACATTGCAGCGGAAAGAAGCGGCAGCTTTCTCTCATGTGTTTTAAACAGCCAACGTCATTGGTTGGTTTCAAACGCTCATGCCCGTGTGTTATACAGCGTGGACCTCGCCAAGCGTGCTTCGGCAGAGGCTGGGGAATTGGCGGGTGACAAAATTCGAAAATTCGGAAATGATGTGTATTTAAACCGCGCGTGGTACTCCTTCCTTCTTGCCTTCCTCGTTGCTGCTGGCGTTGGTTCCTTTCCAGACTCTAGTTAATGAAATCTGGAGTTCAGGAGCATCCCATTTGCTTGTATCTGTCATTCGGAGAGCACTGTGATAGTGGTGCCAATGAGAAAAGGTTCGAACTTATGCACAATCTGGAGTACCAAAAAGCAAAAAGCACAAACATTTGTGAAGTCATTTTCAATGCGAAAGCTTCATGTTGAAAAGGGGCACAGGAGCCCGAGTAGCGCACCACTTGTTAAGTTAGGATTTTCTCAGTTGGTCAGTCATAAATGTCCAGACAGGATGAAATAAGGGTTGCGGACGCTTTCAAGAAATCATTGTTTCAAAGCGATGGTTCTCAAAGGACAAGTGAACTGAACTCAGTGCGAGAGGATCCCAAAAGCACGAGTGAGGAATGGTTCAGATGCATGTGACACTTGCCGCAATCGTGAAATTGACGGGATTCTTGATGTCGGTTTGGACACTTTTGAAGAATTGATTACAAGATAAGGTGACTAGAAGTCGGAATCTGATATTCTATATCTTGTGGTGTACCCAATGATAGCCCAAGAACACTCATTCCACCTTGTATACTGTACCTTGATCTCTATTGACTTTTTTATGTCTCTAGGCTCAGGTCTTCCTATCTGCAAAGATGCTACAATGGATGGGAGGCTCAAGAAAGAAGCTCAAAGCTGTAAGTGCAACTTACTTTTGCTAAATTTTGCATAAGTTACTATATATATTTATTATTTTTGCTTTGTGACAAATACTTCTGTAAAAATATTCAGATAGTCAAGCAATAGAGGATTTTCAGTCAGTAATCATGTTACTTGTCATGATGCATGATGCTGGCGCAAATTATTTTATTCTAGTCGAGATTATCTCTAAAAGCGAGGTATATTTTCTTCCCTTTCCTTGGTTTACTACTTATCATCAACTATTGCATCAATCAATAGAACATCATGCCCTTCTCTCTGGCGATTTTTCGGTTTTCGCTTGCCACCAGCTAGACACGCAGAATGTATTCTGGATGGTCTTAAGAAATAGCTGTGGTTTTAGACAGGAGCGATTTTTTGAGCAGCGTAGGCAAGAAGAGAAGGACCGGTCAATTGGTCCATATACCGCAAATGGTTTTTCAGAGTTACATCCAGAGAAACGATCTCTAGATATTATAGGCCTGGAAGTATTAAGTGCTCAACCTGGCCTCCATCAATCAATGCCTGGTAACTCATTGCTATTATAACTTCATGATATGGACAGTACTCTAAAATGCTCATTAACATGTAGATGGTGTTTTTCTTAATGCCTACAGGCAGTTATTGTTCTTCGAGTGATTTTATGGGATTCCGATTTGTATTCATCAAATGAACGTTGGAGCAAAGACAAATGTGTATTGAAGAATGAGACAGTAAATCCGTAAATATATGCTCGCCTCATTTTCGCTAATCCATGTTCTAGATTTGCAGTGGTGATCAGTTGACTTTCTGCTTTGCCTCCATCCTAAACACAGATAGTAACAAGGTAGAGTGCGAACGAGCTGGTTCCAGTCGTTCGAAGGATGAGAGAGAAAGCCGTGGACTGCCATCCGAAGACCTCCTTGCCAATGGATCTCAATCGGTGCAGATTGTGTCAGACTATCACGAGACTGGTAGGAGAACGAAACTCACAGTGTGGACGACAAAATATAATTCACTTCCTAGACAGCCAAGTACATTGTCAGCTTCCTTTATCTTCACTCCTTTCCTCAGTATCTTTTGTTGAGTATCTACTTGAGAATCTTATGCGAATGTTTTCGTCGTGTGCAGATTCTGTAGTATCAAACAAGGCCAAAGCAGACATTGTTAAATATGACAACGTTGAGTACGTTTTCCACTACCCCTTATTTACTTCGCTCTAATACATTTTTACAAATAACTGGAATTTGTTCTAGAGGTCATTTTGTACGGTCAAGGAAACATGAAGGCAAGAGATTAGAGACAAAGAGGGACATCACAGAATTAGATTGGAGATAACAGTTGAAATGCATTGATCCTAGAGAATCATGAGAAAATAACGGTTTTATATTCATGTGTTGGCAGTGCTGCTGTAAAACATAATGCTCCAGATACCTCTGCACCTGTCGTAGATCTCGGCTTTCAAGTCTCAGGAGTTCAACCAGGTTACACGTCCATCTCAAACAACAACCTGACTAACTTTGTTGAAGTCTCTAGTTATAGTTTATTTTTGAATGTAAGTCAGTGGACCAAAGTCGGAGTTTGTTTTACTTGTATCATCGATCAGAGGTGTTCAAGCTTCTAGAATTGATTTTCAGGATTCAGAATTCTGGATATCATCAAGAACACACCAGGCGATGTTATCACTAGAAGACCAACATCGGAGCTACACGCGACATTTAACCTAGAAAATGGTAATGGTTTTCCTCCTTGGGTGAATCGTTCATATGGCAGAACTTCACGGTTAGAAATATCTTATATTAGAAATTTGAATATTACGTCTACATGTGCATCCACTTCACAAACTCTACACGATTAGATTCACAAACTCTACCCGCTTCAATGGTAATGCAGGCTATGAAAAACCTGATCTGTATACGCCACACAGTATAACTAAATTAGAAACACAAGATCCCATGAGGTAATGTCTGGAGTTTCTTCTCGCTCACATCTCGATTGCAGTTACAATGCATTGCTAGGATCGGTTAAATTTAGAAAAACCAAATAGATCATTAAATTTAGTGATATTAGGACCATGATCAGTTTATTATATATGTTGCATATTTTTCTATAAGCATCAATTTAGCTCTAACACACCTGTGTTAGAGCTATAATGAGTTTTGATGTCGAAACCAGTACAAATAACAAATTCAATAGCATGGCAAAAATACCTTCTGCTCTAGAATATGCTCAAAATCCTCGCATCTTGATTTACTTTATCTTGTTAATTGTAGGTGCCAAGAAACTGCAGAGACACACATTGATAGCAACATATCTCATGAGGTGGAAACTTCTTGCTTACCGTGCTTTGCATACGGCATGTCTAGCTTTTATCAAGCTTCAAACCAGTATGGTAATGGCTTTTATCAACCGAAAGAATTTGTCACCACCGTTCAAAATCTACAGGTAATTTTTTTTCGTATGAGTTTGTAAATTACCATCTAAGCAATCACATCATTAGAGTATTGACTGAGGCGGTAAAGCTTATTGATGTAAGAGTCCAGGGGAGCTATTAATATGGTATTATCACTAAAAATCTCCAGACTAGGAGAATTCAGGGTTTTGTTTAGAAGAAAATGACATCAGTGGCTGCTTCTTTTTTCACAGGAACCTGAGACAGAGTTCTTGAATGACTGCGGCCTAAAGATTGATGATCAATTACCCGTTCTAAAAGTTCTCGACAGAGGAAGTTTCAGTTCAATGCAGAATCTTAAACTTGAACTTGACAAGAAACCCTGGGACATCTTTGATTTTCGTCCTTTGAGACGTGTCAGATGTCGAGAGAAAAAGCATACAAATTCGCCCGTCAATCAATGCTCCTTTCCACCATCCCTTCCAAGAATAGAATCTCTGAGTGAGAGGGACTTCCATATTTCTCCCGAAAAGTGTCCTCCAGGCACGAAAGATTGTGCGGACATACAGGACGATGATATTCAACTAAAATATGTCCTCACAGATTATGGAACTCCCCGAAGCGTTGGTAACTTTCAAAATGACGATGAGTCCAGCTATTATACATCTACTTCTTCAGTATGGGACGTTCTAGATTCGACTTCCTCTTATTGTACAGATAGTGACAAGGTAAATACGAGTGCTCATGCAAGGCTTAAATTGCCATGATTTGACTTACTGCATGAATTCCTGTTGCACCCCTCGTTCCGGCCACACCACCTAACATGTAAAGCATATGCATCATGGTTTCTTCAAGAAGAAGAAAAACATAGTGTGTTCCCCTTAGCACACATGCTAATCTCCTTGTGACTAAAGTCTAATGCGGAAGGTACTAATGGGCTTCCTCATACATCAGATTATTTATGGAATAGATGAGATTTTAGGGGAGTGGTCATCAAAGCTGGACCTTGGGGCGCTTGGACCACGTAACCTCTCGCCTCTGGAAGACTCGGTTCACAAGCCTACAACAAGAAACGGCCCAAGCAAAAGCTGCATGCTTCACAGCCCATTTATTGGCTTGGAGGGAAATTACAACGAGATATTTGCAGAAAATTCGTACATGATCGAAGAAGACGAGACTACCAATACTGTAAATGATTCGAATCTAATAAGGTTGAGAACTATACTTTTTTTCAACTCACTTGATTCTACATTTCATACAAAAGCTGCAAGTTGTAAGGAACACCTTTCATCTTTGCCTCCGTTGCTAATGTTTATTTCCACTCAGTAGTCCTCATTTGTGCAGCATTAAAGAAAGAGGTTCTAATGAAGACCATGAATCCTCAACGACGACTTTCTGCTCTACTGAAGGTGAGGAAGTTCCTATGTAGTATATGTTTGAGTTTCATACATCAGGTGTTGACATACAACATTGCTTACATAAGATATAAATTCATAGTCAGCTAATATATTCAAATTACAGAATTGAGTCCAATCCTCATTTCTCCTGTAAGAATTCCACCTCACAACATTTCGAATCGTATGCACTTTGTTTATCAGATCATTCCTAGGAAAACCTCCAATGATGTAATAATTATATTTTAATACTACCAAAAACATTATGGATTTGGATGAAGTTAACACAACTAAGACAATCTAAACCAATCATAGAGATCTCAAACACCAATTCTCAGAAGTAATATGCCTAAGTATATTATTGGCATCTTGTATTTGTATAATGAGAAACTTCTTTTTTTGGTTTTGAAACTCGAAAGATGCTGATAATTGAAGAAGATGAAAACGGAAAAGTTCGAAGCTGATTTGGGGGAATTAAGAGCAGCACAATATACTTCATATTATACGTTTTGATCTACTAGCATATTTTAAAGTTGTCCAAACGTTCTGATATGTCTGCTTGTTATGAGCAGGGGAAGTATACAACATGCATGAATTTGGCCATGTTGATTTTGTAGAAAACTCGGAGAATAGAGGAACAACCTCAAGTGGTACGAAGAGGAAGTTTCAGATGTCGATTGATGAAAAGGAACCCGATTTCTTAGTGTCCTTCCAGGATTCTGGGACAGAAACCGGTCTACCAGCAACAGAGACAATGACCGTTTATTTCCCATATGCGAACATCCCAAAGGATAAAAGAAAATTTGAAAGCATTGGGTCGCCAAACGAGAAGGAAGAAGTAACTAAAAGGGTCTCAAGGTTGCAAGCTGCGGACGTTATAAGCCAGCACAGCCTTTCTTCTCAAACCGAGTAAGAACTCCATACATTTTCTGCAACCAGAATTGTAAAATTTCTCTCAATAGGGTAATGAATTAGAAGACGAAGAAGATAATCTTCACACGTTCAAGGGAATAGCTTGTGTTTAGACTGATGAAATCTAAAACTGTAAATGTGAATCGGCAGACCTTTTGACGGAGAATGCCCATATTCTCTCAACGACGAAGAAAACCTCCCAGGTATGGAAAGTGTGAATACAGAGTGGCTTTGAATGACAGCTCAAGTCTCATGAACTTGAGTGGGCAAGAGACAATCAACTGAACAGAAAGATTTCTATTCAAATCATGAACTCGATGCTACCACGTTGACACTTAGAAGTGGAAATCATATGTGACATGGTTAAGACTTCGATGTGATAGATTTTGCCACCACTATCTAGAACAGGGACGTATATTTACAAGTTCACGAATCCCTAACATGGGATATATACTCTCTGATATTTTGAAGGAAACGCAGCTGCTTCACACGAGTTTCTATCCAGGGAAAATGACGAAGAGAATTGCATCCACCAAGATCATAAATTTCGTACCTCCTCAAACTCCACAAACGGAGAAGTGGAAGGAGACAGGGTTCAGGTTGATGATTATGAAGAAGACAAGATGGAAGTTGATGTTCTGCTAGAAGAGCTACATCAGTTTGAGATGAAGATTAACTCAATACCAGCATCGATAATTATGAAGTTTATAACTGAAAATCATGACACTTTGTTCAAGCAGCAACAACAAAAGGCGTGTTCTCCCGATGAAGCATCCGAGAAACTTCTGACAAGTTCGAATGGTAATTGTGCAGATAATGCTTCCGTCTGAAAAACAGTCAAGCGTGTACTTTGAATGAGTTAGAACATGTATGCTTATCGAATGAAATTTAGTATGGTGTTCAAATCGGATCCTTATATTTCATGATAAAGCTGTAAGTTCAGTACTGCAAGTTCTTATACTTGGAGGTATTTCTGGTTTCAACTGTTTGTGTGCGACAAGTACGATAGAAGTTCCGTTTGCAAGTTGAGGAGTAATAAAATTTGACACATGAAACTGGTACATTTGTGATCGAAGATACAGGAGAAGGTTCGAATCAAAGTGCTCATGTATATGAGCCGAACCTCAGCAACATGAGGAGTACTAATGAGAATGTTCAAAGTGCTCATGTATATGAGCCGAACCTCAGCAACATGAAGAGTACTAGTGAGAATGTTCATGTGAATGATCTACGAGCGGAGAAGATGAAGATTGAAATTTTGTCCCAGCAGCTCCATGATTTTGAATTAGAATTGCTCAGGGCAAGACCTTTAACTCAGAATATACACACTGCATGCAAGCATCAAGAGGTTTCCTCACCTCAGCCTGAGCATGAGGGCGTGTTTGAGAAGAACAAACCAGCTTCTGGTAGATCAATGGAGAGCGAGATACAGAGACAATCAGACAAAAGCGGGACTCTACTGCATTCAAATGAAATTCACCGAGAGTTTCACCAGCGGTAAGTGCCAGTTAGGAGCTTTTGCAGTATTCAACTACCAACTGTATATTAAGGAACTGAGAGATCATATCAGCCAAAAAAGGCTCTATTCTCTAGGGCCTGCAAATCTTCGTAGTCTTGGATGCTCTTAGACATTACTAACATCTATAGCTTTTCAGTTTCAGCCTAAAATATGATAATGTTTTCCGAATTTAACAGGTCGGAAGAAGGCTGTCAGTTGCATCAAGGCTGCCCAGGACAACAATCTTTAACAGGTGCGTGTATGCTGGAAATAGGCAGTTGACGCTTGTTTTACTATATTATAATCTATCATATACTAAATTGATTAATTTGATTGCACGATAAGACTCCCTTATACCAACCGATAGATGTTTTGTTCGTTTGATTTATCTAAGAATTAACTAACAATGTTAGAAAGATGAGGATTCTAACAATGAACTTCGTTTTAGGAACAAAGTAACACTCGATGATGTTGATAACTACTTTATTGCGTATATCTGGATTTTCACTGTCAAATTTGGTTAGATCATTGTTAAATCGATCTCACAGTGGACTACAACTGATCAAAATTCAAGAGTGAGCCACTGCTAAGTTTCTTTCCAAATGCGGACGAGCTTCTGAGTGCAGCTACTCTGCATAACTGCGTAAACTCAAAAGGGTAGTAAATAATGAACATTATGATGTGATGTACTGTTATCGACACACTAATCAATCCAAGACAATGTGGAGAAAATTACCCCAATGGTCACATTTCAATGCCAGTAGTGTGACATATTTACGCGAAAGCTTTCGCGTAAATATGTCATTGAGAATTGTCTACTAGCAATTAGTCCACCCTCAGCTGACAGATTTGAGTCCACTTTTGATCTTAAGTACGGAAAAACTTCGTGCAGAGTCCTTGATCCACAGTGATATTGGAAGGTTATTCCTTGTCTTCAACGACCTTCTGTCTTTTGCATTTTTAACCTTTAGGTTTTTACTTTCACGTCATGATTCATGCTATTCTCCACAAAAGTAAAAGGAAACACGGCACCGTTGACGTATAACATAAAAATAAATATCGAACAACTCAATTTACCTGAGTTGACGTATAACAGGTAGCACTCAGAGGACGCAAACGCCAACTGGTAATCAGAAGCGAAAGAGGGTGAAAGAAGCGGAAACGAAAGACAGAAATGATGAATACAATTCCCATCTTGAACACCAGAAAGTATCACACGACTTGAACTGCAGACAAGACGTAAAGAAGAGCAGGTCTGACCATCACTTTCGAGAAAGATACGACGAACACTCTTCGGTCAACTACAGGCACGATGCTACGAGTCAATATAAAGAAAAGGTACAATCTCAAAACCGTATCTTACGAATTGTGTGGCAAAGCTTCAAGGGCCACATGTTAAGCCTAAACCAAATTTTCATTATTTCGTTTATATCCATCGACTTTGGTAAAAAGGTTTTATACAACAGGTAGCTTTAGGATAATATACAATCAGAACCTAGCATTACTTACTCCCTACACGTTTCCACGTTACAGAATAGAATGTGTGTTGTCTAGTTCTGTTAGTAGTTCGGTTTCAATAAGAGAATTAAATGTGTTGTTGTCCACTTTTGTTGACAGTTCAATTCTCACTGCTTGCACAAGGAGAAGGGACTTGAAGAAAGCAGGGACATGTCTAAACATCACCGAGATATGGATTGGACAAGTTCCAAGGATTATGATAAACCAAAAGCGAAGATTTCAAGCTTTACTTCGTGTCAAGATAAGCTACATCCTCCGGGAGCTTCTTCTAAATGTTCATACAAGAAGAAAGATTTCAGTAAGGTTTACCATGGTCACTTACAAGAATCTTGTGGATCGAACACAAATCAAGGAAGTGAAGGATTGTTCAAGACATGTTCGAACTCGAGGAAAAGCGAAAAAACTGTTTGTAATTCGGGTGCACAGTTAGAAGCAGACTGCTCAGCGAAGGATGAAAGATGCGAATTGACTAGAAACAAATATGATGGTCATCGCCGACAAACGAATCAGAAGTCCTCATCCTCCGACGACTTAAGGGTAAAAGTTGAAGCCCTTGCTAAGCGTGAGACTCTACATCATCATGCGGCTTCCTTAACATCATCAAACAGGTGCATTGGTAGGACACCTCTCCGACAAGAACGAGACTTTCATCTGTCAAAAGGCAAAAAGCGGGACAACATCAGTCAACAAAATTCATCCAGTGAATCGAATTCAACAGAATATTCGGATGATAACATAAGTACCCGGCATGAGGACCTCCTAGAAAAAATGAAATCTCCTAACGTCAGGCAGAAAATGGATCTTCAAGTTTCATCTCAGGTTAATGAAGATATAACTCGTCCCAGACCTTATCGAAGCATTTCAGATAACAAAGACGAGAACGAAGTGGCAAGATGTACTCATCAACAAAGAGCCCAAATCTCCAACGAAGGAGACAGACAAGAAGAAAACATGGGTGGTCTGGCTTCTCATGACCAAAGAATAACCCAGGGGACTCCAACTATCAACAAGCAAGTGGGAGTGCATCTACAAGGTAATAGATACACGGAGGAGGTATGTGAAAGAGATCCTCAACCCGATTACGAAGACACGAAAAGGAACTCACGCTCTTCTCACCTACTAGGGACATGGAATTCAGACAGGGGAGTTATCCTCGGTGGTACTTGCGCAAGTGCTAATTCTCATCGCCAGGAAACTTCAGTGAGACCTTCGTTCCCTCACACGCACGGCCAGTTACCAGTAAATGATGATCATTCTGTGAAGGGCAACAATGACATCAAATGTTCATTTACAGAAGTATGTTCTCGGGAGACAAATTCAACAGAGCTATTATGTTTAGGATGTTTGAAGACTGATCAGCCACATCATCCACAATGTGAAAAGGCTCTATTGAGTTGTAAATACAATCGTTCATCACACCTACAACTCAGCACTGATCAGGGGATGGTCAAGGCTGGAGAGGAAGAAACTCAAAAATCTGCGGCGGATCTTCGAGGGAAAATGGACTGCTCCTCTCAAGGATGTAAAGTGCAGCAACAAGTTCAAGTTTCGGACTTCGTTTTGCATCAATCTCTAGAACCGCCAGTTGAAACTTTACAAGGCCAAGGTTCTCAACCAGTTTCAGGTAATTCCCGCAAATCTAAGCCAACTGTGTTGACAACCCCAGAACTGTGAACATAGATGTAAACATATGCCAGAATGCATACGGACTAGCAGAAATGTGGATAGGGTCTGAAGTTACAAAAGACCCTGCTCAACTAGTATCATCTGAAGAAAAACCTGACCAAAAGCAGGAGCCCTACATACGCTCTCCTTCATGACCAACATACACGGCGGGAAATGCAAGGTGCTCCACAAGCAATAATCCCTAAAGGTACCCATCTAAGTAGTCAGAAAATGCGAACTTTGTAAGTTATTGATAAAACAATCCCGTGGACCTTTCAAATGTGACTTTCACTGATGCTTGACTGAAAGCTAAATGAGCTACCAATGGGGTTCTTGGGTGTGTTTTGTCTTGACTATGTTATTTTTTTAATAGTTCACAGTTTTCTTCTTCCTCCTAACACATCATCCTCATCTATTATTACTGGAATCGCTTAATATGACAGACATGTTCTTACTAGTACAATTGTCCAATATCTTCATTTGCTAGATAACAAATAGACAAGTTTTGTACCTATCCCCAATGGCAATCTAAACAGTTCAACCAGTTTCTCGAACAATTTCCTGTGAGCTAACCAGCATCCCAACGTTTCTTTGTCCGTATGCAGATGGTCCTAATCAGGACAATACAGGAGGTCCATGTAGAACTGAGGTCTTGAAACTCACAGAAACTCAGCACACCGCACATCCAACAACAGATATGAAAGGAGGACACACCGAACAAGGAACTAGAATACAATACGTTACCATGCTGGAAAGCTTCGTCATGCAGCTTACGTTAGAAAACAAAATTCTTCAGTAAACTTTAGAAACTCAGATACAAGTGCGTGAACGTAGTCATGATCAGAAAAAATCATGAATGATAGAAAATTTATGGACATGGTTGAACTGTCAATCAATTCTCATTCCAAGCAACGTGAAGGACTGAGGGTTGAGAGATTCCCTTTCGCGAAATTTCGCGCGTGACATCTTTTCCCCTATATTCTCCTAAAAAATGGGTTGTTGCAAGATGACACCAAAATTTGAGCTGATTTACAAGCTAAGAACGAGTTCGGCCGTATGCACAGAGGTCGCAGCATCGCTAAATAACATTGAGTTTTTTTTTTGTACTAACGTGAATCTACTGCCTTGAAGTCGAAGTATATGAAAACAGAAATCTACAGGTGGTACCAACAACTTGCAGGTGAACTGGACGTTGCTTGAAAATCACCCCGCCTGGATTCTGCACTGCAATTTAATGCATGTAAGATAATTTGGCGTGATGAGCTATAGAGCAAACGAGCGACTTTCTGCTCTTTTAAGGGCTGGCCTGGACTAACGCGAATTCCAGTACAAAGAAAGGAGGACAGTTACCCCAGCGGCAGAGCTTGAAGGCATTCTGAAGCAGCCGGCGGAGGAGGCACTCCTCCCATCTTCCATTCTTGTAGGCTTGACGATTCCACAGCGTCCTGAGTCAAGTATGCCTCCCCTTCCAAAGCAGATGCCTCTGCCCACACAAATTTCGTAACAAGCCCGTCCATGTTCAGGTGTGAATCATGACAACCGCATTCGACGAGTTTACCACTGCCGGGGCCGTTCCAGCTTTGCCGCACACTTCTGCAACGATGAGATTTCCACGTGTTTTTGAGGTCAATCGTGACTGGGAAGTAGTGTCGCTCGCGGCTTCCCATTTTCCAGTGACGAGCTTGGCTCCTCCAACGCAGGCACCTCATCGACCCGAAGCCAAGATCCTGAGTACCACACTCCGGCAGCCACGAAGAGAACGCTGGTGAGTAGCAAAGCCGTCGTCCTCCAGTTCTGAATATGATCTTGAACCAGCCCCACCAGTGGCGAAGAAGGGACGTCGCCAAAAATGTGGATGGACACGGTGCACATCGCCATGGCTATAGGACGGTCATTGGGGTGCACGCTGTGCAACGTGATGAAATTCACTGGACCCTGAGTGGCGAAGATGGAGAACTCTCCGATGGCAAACAGGATGATGAAGTAGAGCAGAGTGTCGCACGTGAAGGCGACGAAGCAGAACAATCCGCCGAAGAAGCTGCAGATTCCAAGAAACTTGAAGGCCGTGGGAATTGTGGAGCCAACGCGGTCCAGAGCTAAACCACCGAACACGGTCCCCAAAATTCCTGAGAAGATGGTCACGACACCGAACACGATGTCGGCGTTGTCGATGTGGTAAATTGCTTCCCCGACCTTGGGCCCGAAATAGGAGTACGCACCGATGACGAAATTGTACGCAATGTAACCCAGCATGTCGACAACGTAGACCTTCTGCAGCAGCAATTTCTTCAAATCTCCCCCAATTCCTCGAGCTTGTTTCGCGAGAAAACTGAACTTCCTCGTACAATCCGCAGACGAATTCTCCCCTTCTTCCGAGGAAGACCCTCCCTTGAGCAGAGCTGTCGAATGCGCGTCCTCTTCTTGCGCCTTGAGATAGACGGGCCTCGATACAAATCCGAAAATTGCAAACGGGAGCATGAACAGACTCTCCAACCAAAACGCCACTCGCCATCCCCAGAGCCCGCCCACTACTCCCCCGTAGACGTATCCCAGGGCAACTCCCACGGGGATGCAGGCGTAGAAGAAAGACAGCCACGCGGTTCTCTTCTCGGGAGGGGCGTAGTCGTCGATGAAGGGGGCAGCCAGGCTGACGAACGACGCCTCGGCCACACCGACCAGAGCCCTGAAGAAGAGAATTGACCAGAATCCCATCGACAATCCGCAGCCCAGAGTGGCCAGCGTCCAGATTGAGAGCCCGACCCCAATCAGCCTCATGTGGTTATAGGTCTTCGATAGCTCGGCGAATATCGGCGACGCTATCAGCAAGCCCACCATGAAAGCTGACGAGAGAAACCCATCCTGGAAATTGGACAGAGAGAAGTCCCCTTGAATCCCTCGGCCCTGGACACACCCATCGTCGTCGTAGCATGTGGAATTGCCCAGAACACCGTTCACCCCGTTGCTGGCAATAGCTCCCCGATCCACATAATTCAACAGATTGATCAGGCAGAGGATCACCAGCATCCTCTCGGGGGTAAACCACGCCGGCTGCTGGCGCTCCTCTCCATCCTCCTTTCGATCTCCGACCTCATCTGCCATGGATGAACTTGCTGCGTTCGAAGCCCTCTCCCACGACACTCACTCACTCGCCCGCCAGCCCAATTCCTCGACACTGGCAGAGAGCAGTCGAATTGTGCAGCAGGCGACGAGGCACGAGCTCTAACACTGGCTCCTCTCTCATTCAATTCCGAGCATACGCATAACAGCCCGCATATTCGACGCTCGGTCTCATCCCGTACGCTCAGAAAGGGCTCGAATCTGTTCTCCGCTCGTAAAGGACTCGATCGAAAAGCGCAAAAGAACGCCAAGCAAGAACTCCGATTCTGTCAGTGTCCACATCCACAGCCAACGTCCGCAGAAGACCCCACCTCGAGCGCAATTGACATTAGACTCTTTATTCGCATGAGGCACAAATTTTATTACCAGCAGTTACGAGCTTGGACCCTCGACGCTCGTGGCGATGATGAGGACGAGGGGAGATGAGATTGAATGTCTAGGTCTCGAAGGCTTTTCTGGCGTCGAGTAGCGTGTACGACAGAGGCTCGAGTATGTGACACGACCCGACCGCTTCTCAAAGTAGGCACCAACTTGAGAGCGTAGCGTGTTCGGTACGAGTGCCATTCGAGCAAAATCTCCATCTCCGTCCTCCTCGGTCGCCATATTTAGCTTCTTCCCGCCGTTCGGCAGTTTACGTCTAATTTTGGGAACCCATTCGTTTGGAGAATCGTTCCGAATAAGAATTAAAGCATGGAGATATTGGTAACTGGATAAATGAATAAAAATCCACTTGTGCAGTAAAAGATTATTTTGGACATTATACGACTCTAGTCCATCAAAAAGTTGGCTATGTCGCTAGATTGGTTAGTGATCTGGTGTTTGATGAAAAGATAAAGGGATGCTTTTGTTGCTACCGATTGAAACAAGCAAAGAGTCAAGTTTTCATCTTGCATTTGAGTTCTCATTTCTAGTATATACTCACAATGTCCATCATATTTCATCATGTCATATCTGTTCCCCCGATTTCATGGATGCCATCTCTTTATTTCAAATCTGAAACTGCGTATATTGATACTCTGCATAAACTAATTGTGATTTGCTATTCAAATTATGAAAAATCTATATTATACATCGCCACCAAACCTAATACTTGCCAGCTTAAAACAGAATCTCTGGAGAAATTTCATCTTCGATTTTAGTTCTAATCTGATGATGAACTCATTATAAGAGTCTGCCAAGAACTCCGGCCGCATTATATATGATATGCTAAAAGTATTTTCAAAGGAGATTCTGTTGACTTCCTAGTCGTGCTTTTTCTGACCAAAGCAAATATCAACATACTATACTTTTTTAGGCTAATTGAATCATAAAATCTGCCATTAAACAAACCTTGGCAGCTACAAAAATTTCACATCTCCATTATCAAACCAAAAGGGCTTGGAATTTAGCATTTTACTCTTTTCTTAGCAAAAGTGAGGAAAAGATAAAGAACCAATTCCAATTCACATAATGCACACCATTATTTCTTTGTGATGAGCTCCAAGAGTGCAAAATTTGGAGAATATGAATTGATGTACAATAGTAACACAAAAGACTTCATCATCTCCATTATAAAACCAAAGTGTCTTGGAACTTAGCATTTTACTCTTTTCTTAGCAAAAGTGAGTAAAAGATAAAGAAACAATTCACATAATGCACACTATTATTTCTTTGTGATGAGCTACAATAGTGCAAAATTTGGATAATATTCATTGATGTACAATAGTAACACAAAAGATTCTATGTTATCCAACACTTACCAGTTTTAGCCTAGTTCTTGTAAATATACAGTTGGTGGCTATAGTGTGGATCCCACCATCAATACACTCTTAACTTATGTTCTAAACTAAGTTCTAGTAGTTATATATTTGATGGCTATAGTGTCAAATCCATTATGTAGTATCTAATTATGTAGTTGGTGGCTAAGTGTGAATTCCACCAACAACACATCGTAACTCATATTCTATAAGAAGTTCTTCTAACTATACAGTAGTGTAATTTACTTTGCTAGTCATTCTCTTTATGTCTATACTTACTTAATCATCCGTGTGCTTGTCCTTCATGACAATCTACAAGATTGAGAGCAATTACTAGTGCAAAAATCCGATTTTTCTTCTATTTTTCCTCGACTACTCTCCATGGCCAAAAGTGCAGACTATTGACTGCGTGCAAACTCAATTTGTAGAGAGCTTGCATGAACCGAAGAAGAAATATATAGAGATGACATGAATAAATACAATTGAGCTGACAAGAAAAACAAAACTAGTAGCAGCAAGTTCCGCAATCGCCTCTCCTCTATACAATGTATCTCTTTCATCCAATCTTCTTTCAATTGATGAGGACTTGATGTAAGACTTAATGCTCCACTCTCATGCTACTTTTTTGATCATCTCCCTTTATCCTCCACTTTCCTTGCCCCTTTTACCTTCTATCACTCTTCATCCTCTCTTCCTTCAATGACTCCCAAAGTGCATGCGACCTCCCATTAGTTGAATCCAACACCTGTTGATTGATATTAGATAATAGATGAAAATTTGCATTTGAAAAAGTTACATTAAGTAAAAATAAGCGTGTTGGATCCCAAATTATTTTTTTGTTTTACGCAAAGGTACCCTCAAGTAATTTTTCCAAAATTGCTTATCATTCATAGAGTAGATTTGGTAAAATTATTGAGTTCGGTCGGGCGCACATGCTTCCAAAGTTTCATACACAACAAAGGCGGTTTGAAAAAGTTGTCGAATTTTAAGCTTTGAGTTTAGATTTTGGAGACTGGATTTTGCAATAGCGATAACTTCGCGCTAGAGTGTCAACTAAACCTGAAATTTTGTGAGATTATTAAGTTTGGCCAGACACACACGGGTGCAAAGTTTCAACCATAGTAAAGATTGTTTGAAGAAATTGTCAAATTTGAAATTTTTAGTTTAAACTTTGGAAGCGTGATGCAGCGTTTGCCATAATTTCGTGTTGGAGTGTTAACTAGAGCTTATATTTTGTAAGGTTGTCAAATTTGGCCGGACGCACTTGACTGCAAAATTCTAGTCATAGCGGAAGCAGCTTGAATAAGTTGTCAAATTTGAAACTTTTAGTTTAAGTTGTAAATGCTAGATGTTGTGGTAGTCATAACTTTGCACTGGAGTGTCAATTGGAGCTGAGACTTCCTTGTGCACATGTTTGGCCCAGTGCACATGCTTAAAAAGTTTCAAACATCAAAAAAGTGATTTGAATAATTTATCAAATTTGATATTTAGGTTGTGGATGCTGGATGTTACAATAGCCATAACTTCGCGCTAGAGTGTTATAATCATAGCAAAATCTTAACTGGAGTTAAGATTTTGCAAGATTATCAAATTTAGCCAGAAGCACATGCTTGTAAAGTTTCAGTCATTACGTAACTGGTTTGAAGAAATTGTCAAATTTGAAACTTTGAATTTAGGTTGTGGAGGCTGGTTGTTTTGGTAACCATAACTTCGCGTTGGAGTGTCAATTAAAGTTGATATTTTGTGGAGTTTTTGAATTTGACCAGGCGCACATGCTTGCGAAGTTTTAGCCATAACGCATATGATTTGAAAAAGTTGTTAAATTTGAAGATTTGAGTTTAGGTTGTATAGACTTGATGTTGCGTTAGCTATAACGTTGCACTGAAGAGTCAACTAGTGTTGAGATTTTGTGAAGTTCTTAAGTTTGGCCAAGTACACACGCGTGCTAAGTTTTAGCACAACAGAAAAGGTTTGAAGAAGTTGTCAAATTTGGAACTTTGAGTTTAGGTTGTGAAGACTAGATGTTGCTATAGCCATAACTTTGCGCTGGATTGTCAATTGAGGCTGAGATTTTGTGAAGTTGTTGAGTTTGAGTAGATAAACATATTTCTAAAGTTTCAAACACAACAGAGGTGGTTTGAAAAAGTTGTGAAATTTATAGCTTTGAGTTTAGATTGTGGAAGCGGGATGTTGCGATATCCATAATTTCAAACTAGAGTGTTAATTAGAATTGAGATTTTGTAGTCTTATTGAATTAGGTTGGACGCATATGCTTGCAAAGTTTCAAACATAATAAAAACAATTTAAATAAGTTAAATTTAGAACTTTGAATTTAGGTTGTGGAGTCAAGATGTTACAATATTCATAACTTTGCGTTGAGATGTCAACTGAAATTAAGATTTCATAGGGTTGTTAAGTTCGACTGTCTATATGAAAAAATTGTCAAATTTTGAGCTTTGAGTTTAGATTCTGGAGATTGGATGTTACGATAGCCACTACTTCCTTCTAGAATGTGAATTGGAGGTAAAATTTTTTAGTATTGTTAAATTTGGCTAAACGCAAATGTGTGCAAAATTTCAACCACAATGGAGACATTTTGAAGAAGTTGTGAAATTTGAAACTTTGAGTTTGAATTGTGGAGGTTGGATGTTAGGGTAGTCATAAATTCACGCAAGAGTGTCATCTGGAGTTGAAATTTTGTGGTATTATTGAATTTGGCCGAGCTCACATGTTTGCAAAGTTTCAAAGAGAATAGAATGGATTTGAAGAAATTGTCAAATTTTGAACTTTGAGTTTAGATCGTGGAGCCTAGATGTAGCGGTAGCCATAACTTTGCATTGGAATGTTTACTAAAGCTAAGATTTTGTGTAGTTGTTGAATTTTGCCAGCTCTACATGTCCAAAACGTTTTAGCCATAACAGAGGTAGTTTGAAGAAATTGTCAAATTTAGAATTTTTTTTTAATTGTGTAGGCTACATATTGCGGTAGTCATAATGTTGCTCAAGAGTGTCAACTGGAGCTTAGATTTTGTGGTATTGTTGAGTTGTACCGAACGCATTTGGATGCAAAGTTTTAACTATAACAGAGTTGATTTGAAAAAGTTGTCAAATTTGGAGTTTTGAATTTAGGTTGTAGAGGCTGGATGTTGCGATATTCATAACTTTGAGCTTGAGTGTCAATTAGAGTTGAGATATTGTGGGATAGTAACATGATGTTGCACATGTTGTAACATGATGTTGCACATGCTTGCATAGTTCAGCTACAATAGAGGCGGTTTGAAGAAATTATAAAATGTGGAGTTTTGAATTTAGGTTGTGGAGTATGTATGTTGCGCTAACCATAACTTTGCGCTGGAGTGTCAATTATAGTTGAAACTTTGTGTTGTTATCAAGTTTGGCCAAAGTTTTGCCATAACGGAGACGATTTGAAGAAATTATCAAATTTAAAATCTTAAGTTTAGGCTAGCTGCAGTCATAACTTTGCGTTGAATTGTCAATTGTACTTGAATTCTGTTGCGCTTGTTAGATTCAGCCGGTTACACATGTTTGCAAAGTTTCAGCCACAAAGGAGTCAATATGAAGAAGTTGTTAAATTTGGAGCTTTGAGTTTAGGTTGTG